ACTGGAACCAATAAAAGAGATTCCAAGTGAGAATGGAGGACCATATGCTGTTCAGACATTTTTAGGATGGACTGTTAATGGACCAGTATTTGGGGAAGCTGACTGCAATCAACCCAGCATCACTGCTAACCGTATCTCTGTAGTGAAATTGGATGAATTGTGGAAACAACAGTTCCAGCTAGACTTCCCTGAGTGCAGCCATGATGAACAACTGGGTCCATCAAGAGAAGATTGCCAGTTTATGGAAATGGTGAAAGGCACTGTTGAGCTGGTGGATGGTCACTACACAATTGGTTTGCCATTAAAGAACAGGAATGTATACATGCCTAATAACCGAAAGCTAGCAGAACAACGTGCTTTGAATCTCAAAAGAAGGTTCCAAAAAGATGCCATATTTCACAAGGATTATACGACCTATATGCATAACATCATTTCCTGTGGTTATGCTGAAAAGGTGCCTGCAAAGAATCTGATTTGCAACAGTGGCAAAGTTTGGTACATCCCACATCATGGGGTATATCACCCACAGAAGAAGAAGATTAGAGTGGTGTTTGATTGTGCTGCATCATTCCAAGGTACATCACTCAATGCACAGCTGCTACAAGGACCTGATCTTACCAACTCATTGATTGGCATCATAACCAGATTCAGGAAAGAACCCATCGTGCTGATAGCAGATATTGAGGCTATGTACCACCAGGTGCATGTATCAGCTGAGGAATGTGACATGCTAAGGTTTCTCTGGTGGCCAAGAGGGGACGTCTCTCAACCCATGGTGGAGTACAGGATGCGTGTCCATCTTTTTGGTGCAACCTCATCGCCAAGCTGTGCAAATTTTGCTCTGCGAAAATGTGCAGAGGATAACAGAAACTCCTTCAGTGAGCAGGTGGTGGATACCATAATGCACAGCTTCTATGTGGACGACTGTCTTGTTTCAGTTCCCTCTGAATCTGAGGCTATTGCACTCTATCACAACCTTCAGGCCATTTGTGCCAGAGGAGGATTCAACCTAAAGAAGTGGATGAGTAACAGTCGAACTGTATTGGGTGCAATCCCTGAAGAGAACAGGGCAGAGGACATAAAGGACATGGATTTGGACCATGGCCTACTTCCTGTTGAAAGAGTACTGGGTGTACAATGGTGCGTGCAATCAGATGCATTCAGATTCAAAATCTCAATCCAAGATCGGCCTTTGACCCGTAGAGGACTTTTGTCTGTGGTCAGTTCAATATACGATCCACTTGGAGTACTTGTGCCAGTGGTTCTAAAAGCCAAACTAATCTTGCAGGATCTGTGTAAGAAAGGTCTTGGGTGGGATGAAGTTATACCCACACCAATTGCGAAGGAGTGGACCAACTGGATAGATGAGCTTCATCTACTTGAGGACCTCAAAGTCAGCAGATGTTTTAAGCCAGTGGATTTTGGTTCTGTGACTTCTGCCCAACTGCATCATTTTGCAGATGCAAGTGAGGTGGGTTATGGAACAGCTACTTACCTCTTGCTGTGCAGCACTGATGGAAAACAATGCAGCAATCTCATCATGGGAAAGGCCAGAGTGGCTCCATTAAAGCCAATCACCATTCCTAGACTGGAGCTGACGGCAGCTGTGGTAGCGGCACGTATGGACAGATTCTGGAGAAAGGAGCTGCGGATGCCACTACTCGACTCTGTCTTTTGGAACGACAGCACTTCTGTGCTGAAGTACATCACAAATGAAACATCCAGATTCAGAACATTTGTGGCCAACAGGGTTGGAGAGATACTTAAAGCATCTCAGGCAACTCAATGGAGATATGTAAGCACTCTGTCAAATCCAGCAGATATTGCTTCAAGAGGACTTGGAGTAAAGACTTTCCTCAAGAATGAACAATGGATGTGTGGCCCACAATTTCTGCTAGCAGAGGAGCAGTGGCCTACAATTCCATACAGCTTAAAAGAACAAGAACAAGATGATCCTGAAGTCAAAATTAGCGTGTTGACAAATGTTGTTGCAGCCCAAGACGAAGATGACCCACTGTCTCAATTGATTGACCGTACCTCCTCATGGAACCGGTTGAAGAGAGTGATTGCTTGGGTCTTAAGTTTCAAAAGCAGACTTTTAAGTCTCTGGAAGAAAAGGAAGGAAGTCAAGGGGCTGTTGTCACACTCAAAAATGGATGAGAATGAACAGAAGACTGTTCTAAAACAAGAGCTGCAGAGTGTCAAGGATGTGTTCACCGTTTTTCTCTCTGTGGAGGACCTGAAAGAGGCGGAGCTAGAGATCATTGGACTGTGCCAACGGAAAAGATTTCCTGATGAGTTTTCCAGTCTCTTAAAGAATCAGAATGTGAAACAGACAAGCCACATATACAAATTAAATCCATTTCTTGATAATGGTATTTTGAGAGTTGGCGGAAGGCTCAGTAAGTCAGCCATGCCTGAAGAGTCAAAGCATCCAGTGATTTTGGCCAATGATCTTCATGTTTCTGACCTCATCCTTAGACAAGTGCACAAAGAAGTCGGCCATGGGGGCAGGACCCACATGTTGGCAAGGCTACGCCAGAATTACTGGATTACTGGAGCCAGTGGAGCCATAAGAAGAATCTTGGCCAAATGTGTTATATGCCGACGGGTTTTGGCAGTCCCAGCAAGCCAACAGATGGCAGAATTGCCACTCAGCAGGATTTCTCCAGATGAACCACCATTCACATCAGTGGGAGTGGATTGTTTTGGTCCGTTTGAAGTGAGACGTGGAAGATCCAAAGTCAAAAGATATGGAGTTATATTCACCTGCTTAGCTCTGAGAGCTGTGCATATTGAAGTAGCCGCATCACTGGAGACAGATTCATTTATGAATGTACTACGTCGCTTTATAGCTAGAAGAGGCCAAGTCAAAGAGCTTTGCTCAGACAATGGAACCAACTTTGTTGGCACCGATCGAGAATTGAGAAGATCTCTGGAGCATTGGAATCAAGCTCAGATTCATGATGAACTATCACAGAAAGGAATAAAGTGGAAGTTTAATCCTCCTAGTGGTTCCCATCATGGGGGAGTCTGGGAGAGGTTAATCCGTTCAATCCGAAAGGTCCTCAACTCTACTTTAAGAGTTCAAACTCTGGATGATGACAGCCTCCACACTGTGCTTTGTGAAGTTGAAGCTATTCTCAATAGCAGACCAATAACAAAAGCATCCACAGATCCAAATGATTTGGAGGCTCTGACTCCTAATCATCTCCTCCTCCTCAAAGGTCAACCATCTTTCCCACCTGGTGTTTTCCGGAAGGAAGATTCGTATGCTGTACGTAGATGGAAACAAGTACAGTACATCTCTGATTTGTTTTGGAAGAGATGGACAAGAGAATACTTACCACTGCTTCAGGAGCGTCAGAAATGGAACAAAATCAAGCGCAACTTTGCTCCTGGAGACATCGTGCTCATCGTAGATGACTCTGCACCCCGAAATTCTTGGATTATGGGGAGAGTTGTTAAAGCCTATAAAGACAGAAAAGGACTCGTTTGACAAGTCAAGATCAGGACCAAGACAAGCTGTTTGGACAGACCTGTCACAAAGATTTGCCTGCTTCAGGAAGCCGAGGATACTTGATGGATTATTTGTTATGATTTGCTGTTCTTCTGTTGTTGATACTACTTCACTTTGAACATAGAACCTGTGGCACAGACCATTTTCTACCAGATTCTCTGTTCAAACTGCTGATCTGAAAACACAGCTTCTATACATGTTTTTTTGTGTGAGATTATACTATGTTTCTCTTATTATTTAGTAATTATTATATCATAATAATTAGGGGCCGGAATGTAGAGGCAAGGATTCATTTTGGTAATGTCTCTAAGGGTAGGCTGCATGTGTTAAAGGTATGTATGGGCATGTGTGGGTGGAGCTATAAGTGGGTGTTGGCATGTGTTTGAGTGATTGTCTAATTAATATCACCTGGATCTGCTCTGAGGCTGTTTTTGTTTGTTTGATTCAGAGAGAGGCTAAGACAGGGTGCCAATATTTCTGTTGACCGCAAGTTGTAAGCAAATAAGTCTGCAAATCGACCTGTTGTACAATGCCTCACAGAAAAAGAGTACAATAAACATCCCTAACTGCAGAAAAGCTTTATGTTTCCTCCTTGGATTCAGCGCGTCGAACAGATCCCTGCTCTCCTCTCAGTGACTATTTTTTGGATGATAGTCGCCTACACATGCTATTAACTAAAAGTAAATATATGACACCCTTAAACCATATAGGTTTTGCGGTACCGCAAAAATAAAGCTGCTTTAGGATCTTCTGCTTTATTTTTTAATAAATACGACATTGCAGGGTTGTGTATATATATATATATATGCATCAGTAAATACTATTACATAAACCATGTGTGATTATTGTGCTGCCCTACTCCATTATGCATGAATTATTAGCTTGTGGCACTATTAAGGTGATGCTCCAGTTCTTTATAAGAAGACCAGTTTTTCTGCATATACAGCTTACCCTTTGAAAAAATATATGTTCTAGTTGGAGCTGGACTAGAAGGTCCAACGTGACCCCTTGAGCCCTGCCACTGCCAATCTCCCCTTCCAGAAAATATGCAATTTTCAAATGATCTGTAGTCTCCATTTGATTTTTTTTTTTTTTGTTAATGTATTATTGTGTTTCAAATTCCTCCCGTTTACACATACCTGGAGCTGATTCTGATTTAATTTTGCTTATATTTTGGCTTTACATGTATAAAAAATCTGGTTCTGCGGACTTTTGTCTGTCTTTATTTCTAACTTTATATTTGAAATAAAGACACAAAACTTATTACAAATTTATGATACCTTTATAAACCTCAATTCCCCTCAGCACATCCTACTGCAAGATCATCCCTCCACAATGGTGGCATGTCCCAAAGAACAGCATTTACTTACTTGCTTAATTTCTGTATAAAGTAGCTTTGATTATTTATACTGTAAACTCATTTAATAATAAACTCCTGTAGACATGAAAACACCAACACAAGAATCAGACAGGGACCAGATAGTTTAGTATGATGAATTTATTGGTACTGAACAACAGGGGATTTCTACTGCAACCTAATGCTTGAACACAGTTAAGTTATCCTAGTAATGATCTTGACTCTAAGTGGGGGTGATGATTACTTGTGGTTTGTTCCTTTCATAGTTTCAGTTTGGCAATGACTTCTCGACTTCCCTTCTTTAAGCATCCTCTTCAGCCTCCTCCTCAAACTCACCTTCCTCCTCAGCAGTAGCATCCTGGTACTGCTGGTATTCGGACACCAGGTCGTTCATGTTGCTCTCTGCCTCTGTGAACTCCATCTCATCCATACCTTCGCCCGTGTACCAGTGCAAGAAGGCCTTGCGCCGGAACATAGCTGTAAACTGCTCAGAGATGCGCTTGAATAGCTCCTGAATGGCCGTGCTGTTACCGATGAAGGTGACGGCCATCTTCAGGCCACGGGGCGGGATGTCGCAGACGGCGGTCTTCACATTGTTGGGGATCCACTCTACAAAGTAGCTGCTGTTCTTGTTCTGCACGTTCAGCATCTGCTCATCCACCTCCTTCATGGACATGCGGCCGCGGAACACAGCGGCCACTGTCAGGTAACGGCCATGGCGCGGGTCACACGCGGCCATCATGTTCTTGGCATCAAACACCTGCTGGGTGAGCTCCGGAACAGTCAGGGCACGATACTGCTGGCTGCCCCGGCTAGTGAGAGGGGCAAAACCGGGCATGAAGAAGTGGAGACGAGGGAAAGGCACCATGTTAACGGCCAGTTTGCGGAGATCGGCGTTGAGCTGGCCTGGGAATCGCAGGCAGGTGGTGACACCGCTCATGGTGGCAGACACCAGGTGGTTAAGGTCACCATAGGTGGGTGTGGTCAGTTTCAGTGTGCGGAAGCAGATGTCATACAGAGCCTCATTGTCAATGCAGTAAGTCTCGTCTGTGTTCTCTACCAGCTGGTGGACTGACAGAGTAGCATTGTAGGGCTCAACCACTGTGTCCGACACCTGCAGGTACAGAACTTTTATTTAGTCTCATGATTTCAGAGGACCTAAGGCTAAACAAGCTAATTTTAAATACTAAACGGATCACATGCCATCACAAGGATCAGTTACCTTTGGGGAAGGCACCACGCTAAAGGTGTTCATGATCCGGTCAGGGTACTCCTCACGGATCTTGCTGATGAGGAGGGTTCCCATACCGGACCCAGTTCCTCCACCAAGAGAGTGGGTGAGCTGGAAGCCCTGCAGGCAGTCGCAGCTCTCTGACTCCTTGCGGACCACATCCAGGACAGAGTCCACCAACTCGGCTCCTTCTGTGTAGTGACCTTTGGCCCAGTTATTTCCCGCACCGCTTTGACCTGTGATAAAATTAAAAGGTATTGGTGTGTTCTTTTATTTCTTTTCTTAATGCTTAAGAAGTTTTTCACAAATAATTTGATCCATTGCTATTTAACTCACCAAACACAAAATTATCAGGTCTGAAGATCTGTCCAAAGGGTCCAGACCTCACAGAGTCCATAGTTCCAGGCTCCAGATCCACAAGAATTGCTCTTGGTACATATTTACCTCCTCCACATTAAAGAGAAGAAGAGAATGGGAGAGAAAGAAGAAAATATATATACCAGCTCAATGTGGTATCCACAAACCACTGAGTAAAAACTGCCAGAGACTCTGGAAAGGGCCAGAGAAAATGTAGAATATAGTGCTTAATGAAACACCATCAATGATGTAAGCTAACCTGTGGCCTCATTGTAGTAGACGCTGATCCGGTCCAGCTGCAGGTCACTGTCTCCGTGGTAAGTCCCCGTGGGATCAATGCCATGCTCATCACTGATCACTTCCCAAAACTGAAAAGAAACAAAAAAATGAAAAGAAAAAGGAAATTTATCACATGACAGTTAGCATTTTTAATAAAAAAAGCAAATTTTTGAATAATGCACTTTATTACACTAGCAGATTTAAATGGGTAAAACAGCAATGTGATTCCATGTCTTGCAGGGTGATGGGCAACCTATAATTTTCTTCCCTTTAAGCATGTCATATCAAAGGCATTTCCTGCAATGCAGCTGTTAATATTTCCACAACCGCCAGCTGATGACACTGCAGAATGAAGCTCTTTCACATGCAAGATATGATGGAGGATGTGCACAAAGGCGCTACAGATGCCTCTGAAAGCAGTACTGCAAATAAACTCAGTTTGCAGGCAGTCACACAGCACAGGAGGACAGTTAATGTTTGTATTCAAGCCTTCTTGGCCCGTTTTAAAAGGACCAAATTTAAAGGAAAGCCTTTAATAAATCCAGTGTGATAATCTTTTGTGCTATTTTAAAGCTTTTTTTCAAATTATGTTTTTTATTTCAGCTATGTATCCAGTAAAAGAGATTATGATTTACTTTATCTGGATATAATGTATTGTAGATAAGTAGAATGGACATCAGGGGTCAGCAAATCTTGACATTTGATTCCATGCATGACCTAAGAAAGGAGCAGAACGAGGTTCAATAAGGTCTAAAAGAACAAAAGGTTTGTGCACAAAAAAAGAGAAACCCAGACAGGGAGAACTGACGGAAGGTTGATGGTATCACAATAGATAGCTATCAGCAAAGATGAAAAAAAAATCTCAGTGAAAGAATGAGGACAATGAGGAGGAAAAGAAATGCCACACCCTGACCCAGATCCCTGCAATGTATGCATTCAGCATTTCTGTCAATCACGGATGCTAGACATCTGAGTCAATGAGTCCCAAGGGAGGGGAAACAAATGGAGATGTTCCCTGAAATTGAAAAGATTTAGTTAAAAGTAAAGAACAGAAATCTTAGATATTCTTTCCTGCCTGTCATAGAACATTTACAGCAACAGGTAAAAGAATACACACACACACACACACACATATATATATATATATATATATATATATATATATATATATATATATATATATATATATATATATATATATACTGATCTGAAGTCGCATGTTTTAACCATGAATTCTACAGAGTGACCCCAAGCAAATGCATTTTCAAGCAATTGCCTCTACATCCACTATGCATCAGCTGTTTCCTCCATTCCTCCCCCACCCTGTTCTTAATTTGGTTATAGAGGGGAAGACATCGATTACAAAGAAGGGTCTGGCTTTTCAGGACAGAAGCGCCTCTGCAAGTACTGCATAATGAGGCAGCCTCTAAAAGCTGGCCTATTGTATAGAGTGATCTTAAAGATATATTTCAATACCAGTGGAAGCCCTACCAAAACATGTGCTGTGTCATTAAATTAGCAGTTACAGGACATTAAGATAGCCATAATGAAAGGGTGATCTTTTGTTGTAGACTATAGATAGTGGGAAAGACTGGATGGATGCTGTATTGATTAGTTCAGATTCTCGCTTGTAAATAGAAAAATAGATAAAATATAAAAACAAATATCCAGAAATAATCAATGAGCTGCACATGAGTTTACACTGTTAATAATAAGCTTTTAAAGAGTAGCAGTGAGAATTAGAAATCAGTTTTTCCTCAACCTATTATTCATGCCACACCCTTCCACTAGAGCCTAATCTGAAGAGCTTTAACTGCAGTCTGCCTCCACAGAATTAAAAAAATCTAATCAATAGAAGCTATTGATCCAAACTGATCCAAATGGGGAGAAAGAGAAGAACTGGGCCGCTCCTCATTGTCTGAAATGCCGGTCATGTCTTTCTGTGGGAGACAAAGGAAAGCAGACTGCTCAGACTGAGGGGGGGCTCTGATAGGGAAAGAATAGGCTTGGTTTACCCTCTTTTCTCTTCCTCTCCTTTTATAGATGGTGTATATGGATAAAGTGAATGGAAAGTGTTGTGAAGTCGGACACGCCCGGTGTGAGAGAAAAAAAACAGTCGAGACAACAAGACAGCCGCTATACCGTTATTCCAAAGCGCACACCCACCCACCACATAGCGCACTCCACAGGATCCACAAAGAAAGAAACATTAGAAACAATATATGTATGAGATAGGAACTGGGATGAAATAATTACGTTTAGTAGAAATATATTAATGAGACAAAATTTTTATATCCAAAAGAAATAACATTAAAAAAAAAACAAAACAAAAAGAAACAAACAAAGAAAATAGTTTATTTCCCTTACCTTGGCACCGATCTGGTTACCGCACTGACCGGCCTGGATGTGCACGATTTCCCTCATGATGGAGATGAAAGTTTTCTAAGACAGGAGCGAAGAGATGCTGTGAGGAGAGCACGAGGAGCCGACAGGTCCCTTACGAGCTCGCGCTGGACAATGGATTTATAAGGCTGGAGCGCATCCAGCAGGGGGCGGGGCTACGCTGGGTTCCAGGACGCGCCTGCGCGCAGCTGCTGCACAGCGCTGAATGGCTGAACAGAAGAGACTGGGGGAGGAGAAGGAGGTCTGAGCAGGGAGGAGCACCAGTCTGCAGATCAGGGAGTGGAAATAAGAAAAGGAGATTGACCAAAATTTTACCAGCTGGTATCCAGAAATATTCTTTACAGCTGTTTTCTGGGTCAGCCATGACAAATCATCTCTGTATCTCCTGCTTAATAGGGAACAGATGGTGGACATTTTTGCGTAAAGCTAGGGGGAAATAGGGACAGTTAGCTCACCAACCCCCCCAATTCAACATAAATCTATAACTGCTTCTGAATAATGTCCTCATACTCTTAGATTCTGATGTTTGCTGCATTATCTAATTGTCAGTAAGCATCTGAATGCTAGAAAAAGTTTAGCCCCTTTAATTTGTTAAATGGAAACACATATGCTTACTTTATCAAGAAACTATGCAGCAGCTGCAGAACTTTGAAAAAAAGAAGCAAAATTTGGCATTCTAGAATAAAAAATTCCCACTTTAAAGCTACAGTGTGTAATAATTACAGGGATATACAATCAGAAATGTAATATATTATACATAACTATGTTATTTATCATCATCTACGAGCTCAGCCTCTTAACCTTAATATTTGCGTTACCTTAGAATTCGTTATTTATAATTACAAAGGAGCGAGTCTCGCAGCCATGGAGGCAGACATCTTTGCGCTACGGCAGCGCAGAGCCAACAAACTAGCCATTGTGAGATCGCCAAAACGTCACAACGATGTAGAAAAAATAACAGGTAAATTTATTATCTTAAGTCTACATGAAATCTATACCCTACACAGACTAATGAAATGCTATCTGTAAAATTATCTATGTAAGGTAGGTGATGCGGACGTCGTGGAAGACATTTTGTCTCGTAACGCTCGCCGTACTGTTGGGGGGGAGAAGCGGGGGGGGGGGGGGGTGTTCATGTTGCTGCAGTCTGACCGCTAGATGTCGCTAAAAGTTACACACTGTAGCTTTAAAGATTCTTTGAAACTTGAAGGGATGAGGATTGAGAAAGGTATAGAGCTACAGTAGGACCAATGTAGAAACTTCTGTCTGGATTGAAATTCTCCCAGGCTGTTAATGCTCTACGTCCACCTACCTCTCTACCCAGCGATTAAGCAAATATCTTGTATAAATAATATCTTTAAATAATTTAAACTATAAGCTTTATCAAAAAGGAAAAATTTTAAGTCAAGCCTTAAAAGTAGATAGGGTGTCTGCTTCATGGACTAAAACAGCCTGTGTCATGTTCTTTGCACTGATGACTGGCTTAATTACTCATTTCATTCACCTGTCTAAATCTATCCGGTTTCTCATTCCTGTTCATATGATCCACCTGCTCCTGCCTCAGTTAAAGCCGGGCGTACACTGTGTGATTTTCCGGGCTGACTTTCAGCCTGATTGTGGGTCGTGTAGTGTACAGGGGGTAACGTGGGGCGTTCAGACCACCTCCCGATCAAAAAACGGGAGGTGGTCGTGGGCAAATCGCTTAGTGGGCATGTGCAAACAAGGATTCTTCTTTCTCTTCCTCTCATATGAAAACACAGAAGTATGGCGGGGGTGCAATGAGTGAAATGGAGTTCTGTCTGTAAAATTGATGGACCATAGTAGCCACGTTTCCTCAGCCATGTCTTTGTTCAAATATGTCATCGCCTTTTCTTTTTAGGGCTTTCAGCACAAAATTGCACAAATTGCCAAGGCAGCGCGTTTCACTCTAGTGAGCTTCATATTCCTCTTCTATTTGTTTAGCTTCCGGATAGACGAGTCAGAGCAGCTCCATCTCACTGCGGAGCTGAGTCTGAGGTGCTTTTTAGTCGTACAGTGTGAGCAGGTAGATCGCATGAGAGTGTTGTGTTGCACATACATCGTGAGCTGTGAACTCACACTGTATGTCTAAACCCTGCAGTTTAGTCGTACAGTGTGAGCTGCAGCTGCGTACAATGATTGAAAAAAATCGCACAATGTACGCCCGGCTTTAAAGGTGTAGTGGAGTTTGAAAAGACCCACCCTCTCCACTTGGAAAGGAACATGGACAGGATGGTGGTGACCAGTGTGCAGAGATCTACGACTACACTTTCTGCGTACTGTCACTCAGTCGTTTGGTTGATCAAGAACTGTTGGAGGACCAGTACATACATGTGTCCCTGGTCTTGGTGGCTACAGGCTGTTAACTAGTGAGCCTACTCAAACTCCTGGTTGTTCAGCAGCCTGAAGCCAGGACTCAAACTCTGAAACCCCTGCCTCCAAAGCTACAAAAATACTATTACACGTACAATTATCAATAAAGGAGGCACATAAATAACTGAACATCTGACACAGAGAGCAGGAGAGGGAGATTAAGAGAAGGTTATAAAAGAGTCAGGGGAGTCAAGGAGGGAAGTCATAGCAGTGCTAAGCAAGTGCTACCCTTGGCTAGCCACTCCTTACAACCAGAAATAATAACTGTGTCAATGCAAAAAGTGACTGTAGAAAAGTGCAGGAGTAGAAGCTGTGTTTAAAAGTACTCCTGAACAGTTATGCTACCAGCTGCAGAAGCAGCCGGCCTACATGCAAAGCCTATGGTTGACGCTCATCAAGGCGCACCAGAAGATCCTGGGGCTCTTCTCGAGGAGCAGCACATCTTAACGGATCTGAACTGCTGAAGCAGCACCTCATGAACTTCTGAGCATCTGAGGCACAACTTTTGCTGCTCGACACGCCACAACAACCAATCAGAAAAGCTGATCTAGGAGCTGGCAGGGAGACAGACAAAGAGATGCAGGGCAAAATGATGACTCCTTGAAATAGTTTATTAATTCCTACATTAACTGAAAATGTTGAAACCTGCTGGCAAAATATGTTCACTTTATAATTAAGGTACCTGCAGTTTGGTAACACCTATCTGGAAAAATACTAACATCTACTTCCAGCTGCCACGAACAGTAGGGGGAAAACCCCAATAGGCAACCAGGCATAAGGCAGCTGCTGCTGTATTTCCAGTGACAGCGCGCTGCCGGCATGTGGGGGTTTGAGCGGCTCAGACAGCGAAAAAATATTTCAAGGCAGGATCGTAATCTTGATGAGCTGTTTGCACAGACAATGTTTTCGAGGTGATCTTTGTCACTTCAAAACATATTAAAACTACTTTTTACCTACTTATCACAAAAAATATAACAAAGCTGGCACAATCAAATACTGTTATTGCATTGTTTTCATTTAGAAAAGGAAAACATTATGTAAGAAAATGGGTCAGGCTTTGAGGAAGAGCTAGATTGCTTACTCAACAGGCAGCTGACACCTCCAGCCAATAAAGTGCGCAGTCAGTAAAAGTTAATATTTTTCATACCATAAAAGACATGTAGGCAAGTTTGGGTAGTTTTTGTTGTACAGTTTAGAGTTCATGTGATTGAAAACCTGCTCATCTTGGTACTCAACAAATTAATTCAAAGAAAACTGTGGCTGCACAGATGTGAAGAAATACTATAAAGTTATCTGCTGGTTGGAACTATAACCACAATATTTGAGTTTAATTTTAGTTTGATTTGAAATTAGGCGCAAAACGCCATCAGTAGATTTAGCAGTTTACAGAAATGTTTCCACAGCTGCTTATGGTTTTTATTGATTGCTTTGATGCGGCAGTCGACTCAAAACACACATTTTACAAAACAGTTAACGCAGAGGCCGAAACAGTGGCACCAATGCTCAACATGACACATTATGTTTGCCACAGGCTCTAGCTCTGCCAAAACCTTTTAAATAAACCTTTTAAATAATATGGAACCAAAGCATATTTTGCCCTAAAAAAATAACGTGTGCGCAAATGTATGAGCACTTCCAATCACTCATTATACCAGGGGCAGCTGAATACCACACTCATTTTGAATCAGTGTGGCATCTCTGGTCATTGTAGTCTATGACAGTACATGGCCTATATTTCAGTGTCATTTGTAGTCAGATTTGTCTTCCTGCTAAAAAAAAAAAGATCCAGAATCAGATCTGCTGTGTGAATAGTATTCATCATTTCTATTTTCAGATTGTGACAAAAGAATTAAATATTCCAACAGAAAATTCCAGGGCTCTTCTGTCTCTTCTAGTCTATTCTGTCGACGAACAGACCACATGGCCTCTTCTACATCACACTCAATATTTTCCCCTGCAATGCACCTAGGAAAAAATCTTCTAGCATGCATGATCCATCCTTGAAATACCTCTGCATTGGCTCTTCTCTTCTTGGCTAAATGGTTCTTTCTGAGGACGCAGTTAACTGTGTGCTTGCTCACCGTATTTTCCTTTCTAAATACCCCCTGATCAGTAATCATCACCATGGCCTAATGGCATTATTTGCCAGAAATAGGTTCACAATGGCTGACTCCTGCTCAGCATTCAAAAATCTGCGTCTACCACAACCTGGCAGCCTTTCGATTCTATACAGAATACATTAAATGTGGGAAATTACATGAGATACTATATATCTCTATAGATATATAAATATATAGGGGGAGTGGTGGCCTGGCTTTCTGAGCAAGACCCTTAACTCCACACTGCTCCCCGGGTGCCGCAAATGGCAACCCACTGCTCCCCAAGGGGATGTGCAGAGTTAATTTCGTTACACTGTATATGTGACAGTGTAATAACAATAAAACGCTGGGGAAAAAAAAAATCGCACACTGACTCCCCTTGGACTCCTCTCCCCCGGAAAGCTCTCCCTCTTACTCTGATTCTCATCTGCCTTAGACCATCAATGCTTGCAAAGAACAATGCACAGCATGGCACATTTTAAGGTCTGTAGACTCATTGCAAATTAAAAAGCTATATGAAGAAGCGTCAAACAGGTTCTTCAGAGATTTCTTATCGATCAAGAAGTTTGTAAGAGGTGGCAACATATGGTTTCTGTTTGGCTACCGCAGCTAAAACAGTGAAGTTTGGACAGAGGTCTGTACCACGAAGCAGGATTACTGGGTTAGTGAGACAACTTCAGGTTTATCCCTGACTTTCCGGTACCACGAAGTTGGACTCCTTCTTAGCAAGGTTAGTCACTGTGGTAATGTAGTCTGAAGGGCAAAACTGCTAAGAGGCAGGCTAGCTTTCAGGACTGATCTGAATCCTAGAAAACGCTCCAGTCAGCAGCCAATCAGCAGTTTAGAAAACAATGATGTGTCCTTTAATTGAAGACTCAATTTTATTCAGAGGGAAAAATAACTTAAATTAAACAAAATTAAAGGAACTTGAAAACAAAAAAAAAAGTTAAAACACATATGCATACATAAATATGATATTGAAAAATAGAATAGTTTTCAATTTATTGATTTATTTTGTTTTTTCTTTCTTTTTGACATATATTCTGTATCTATTTTTTTGTTTCTTTTATAATTTGAATCTTTGTGAGGAATGCTCTTTGATCAGTTCAAGCTGGACTGAGTTAGCCAGTTGATAACCACTATGGCGGTATCGCTGATCCTGATTACCATTGCTGTGGATTGGTTAAACTGGATAGACTGGAAGAAATCCAGCTAGGTTTAGGTACCTTCGCGGTATGGGCCTCTTCTTGAATGACATATGTTTTAACTGCTACGCAAAAGGTAGGGAAAAATGTGTCAAACCAACGAGAATGGGTTAACTCATTTGCAAAAGGTGTATTTTTCTGTGCTGAGATGATGAGGATGAAGACTTAGAGGTTGCCAGTTTCTTCAAACAGGTCAAAGCAGTCCATAAAAACTGTAACGTCATTGTGAATTTGTTAAAAGTTAATGTCATTGTGTTTTTTAACATGTTGTATTTTTTATTTGTAATCTTTTCATGTCAATTTCATTGTGTTTTTGAGTGTGTGATTGTGTTTCTGAATATATTGTTTTGCTTTTTTAATATACTGTTGTAGTTTCTGAATATGTTGTTGTGTGGTCGTCTTTAAAGATTTGTTGATGTGGTTTGCACTTCAGGGCCACCATATAATTAGGATCACAATCATGCTATCTTCAGTCCAAAAGACTTGGACGTACCCATTCCTAAATTTTTTTTTTTCAATTAAAGAAAATTGTATTAATTAATAAAAGAAAAAAAATTAAAAAATGTACCACCTGAGTTCTGGAAAGTTTTTCTTTAAAAGAAATAATTGCAGGGAAAACACATAATAAGATTACTACATTCTATTTCAGAAATAACAATATATTTCTGTGATTGATTAATTTCAGCTTAGCATTTTAGGATAAAAAACGTTGGAACGCCACTGCTGCTATAGGCCTGAATTTCAACAGTGCAGTTACAGGTACCACCACTAGATGGCGCCAGTGAAAATGGGGCGTGGTCACAACACACTTCCTTTTTTTCTAACAGACATTCTTCTCCGACTCCAACTGACGGTCATCGCAGTACACGCTGTTCGCAGCAGAAAGAAACTGATTTAATTACGTCCCGAAAAGGTTTGTTACTTTCTATCAACCAAATAGGAACAATTAGGGAAAAAAAAGGTTGATGTTAATCTTGCCAATAGAGATAAAGATGTCTTTTTAATCCGGTGCTGCTTTTTTTCTGTAGTAAAGTGCGTCCATATCTGTGTCGTAAAGACGAGCTTATCCTAGTTGTGAAAATAAGCTCTCTATGCTTCGGGATTTTAGATAAAATGTGGCATGTTTAAGTTTGTATCGTGCTGTTGTTGTCTCTGACTTGTTTGAACCCGACACAGGTTTTGTTTAGGGAGATGACGGATTGTAAGGAAGACTATTAGGTGGGATTGTCTGGAAGAGGGAGGAGCCGCGGCGGTTAAAAACACAGACATGGATCATTTGATTGGAGTTGACTTCTGTAAACCACAGTTCCCACCATAGCTGTGGCCTAGCAGCAGTCCTTATAATGAATAATATTAGAAATAAAGTACATTTTTAATAAAAACGTTAAGTAGTTAATTATATGTTTGTAACCTTTCTTACTGTCTTGCTACACTGTTGTTACAGTTAACTATTAGCTCTTCCTATAGATATATGGCTGAGTTTCACAATGGGTTAAAAATTGAGTTGATAATTTATTCATATGAAACAAAGGAATTAAACTTAACACTAAAAATCGACGTTAAAAGTATTTAAAGGCATAAAAACACCACTTAAAAGTGGACGAAACTGACTACTTTGATTGTTGATGCTGTTTTTAAAGCTACATTTCAGATGTAGGAGCTGATAAACACACTGATTTAAACAAATTAGATTTAATTTAGATAACATTTTTATGAGGGCAGTCTTGAAAAAAGTTTTTAATTAGCATGTGGAGTTCGGGTTTTTTTTTATGGTGTATCTGTTTAATGGTGCAGTGTGAAGCACTGCCGCCTTGCAGCAAGAAGGTTCAGTGTTTGATTCCCGTCTCTTTCTGCATGGAGTTTGCATGTTCTCCCTGAGCATGTGTTGGTTCTCTCCGGGTACTCCGGCTTCCTCCAACAGTCCAAAAACATGACTGTTAGGTTGTTTGGCTGCTCTAAATTCTCCTTAGGTGTTTGTGTGAATAGTTTTTTTGTCTCTGTGTTGCCCTGCGATGGACTGGCGACCTGTCCATGGTGTACCCGTAGACAGCTGGAGATAGGCACCAGCACCCCTAGCAACCCCACTTGGGATAAGCGTTACAGAATACAGATGGATAATCTATTATCTATTTCTTTTAGATGATCTGAGTTATCTATTATATCCTGTTCCCACCATCTAACTATCGTTTATGTGGAACTCATTGTAAAGTTTTTTATTTTATTTTTTTTATCTTAATTTTTCCAAATGCTATTCTTTATACTCTTATAAGAAGCTGCTTATTACTGTGAACCGATTAAATTATTTTTGTAGCTGACTGTTGAAGTGTTTCCTCTTTAATCAGAAATGTACATTTTACTCCCTCAGGAATCGAGATGTTTTACACATGTGGACCCAATGAAGCTATGGTGGTGTCTGGTAATGGATGCTTCCTTCTTTCCTTTAATGACACAGAATGTTTAGGCAGTCTGTCCTCTAATGTGCTCCAGTTTTCAGGGTGCCGGGATCTTGTTAAAAATAAATTATACATAGCCTCCGTGTTTACAAATGCCTTGTAGTAAAAATTGAAGCCTTCTGTGCTTATTGGGACCTAAGAATTGGATACTGGTTTTTTAAGCAGCAGGCTGAGAATTTTCCTGTTTTCTTTTCTATGCTGTGACTAATCCCCTTGTGTTGAAATATGAAGCTGAACTGTTTACTCATTTTGCTTTCTCTAGACGTTAAGCAGCTGGTTTCATGTCCTTTAATTTTTATGTTATATAATTTCTCCTTTTTTATTCTCCCTCACCAGGCTGTGGCCGTTCTCCACCATTGATGATTGCTGGAGGAAGAGTGTTTGTCTTCCCTTGTATCCAGAAGATCCAGAGGTAAACGTTTTTTTTCCCCTGTCTCATTTTACTACAGGCTGTGTAGATAAGTGATTCCAGTAAAATAAATGGAGATAAGTAAGAGGACAGAAATTATCAGAATGATCTTTTTGTTTATCTTATTCGCTGTGATGATATTTGTTTTCCCAGAATCACTCTGAACACCCTCACTCTGAATGTGAAGAGTGATAAAGTCTACACTCGCCATGGTGTCCCCATCTCAGTCACTGGGATTGCACAGGTGAGCCCTGAAATTTGTGAATTTAATACCGTATTTCCTGGATTATAGAGCACCTCACTATAAGCCGTGCCAACTAAACAAAAAAAAAAAAATGGAAATGTGTCTATATATTTACTGAACCGTCTCCCACCAAACCTGTAGGCAGCAGTAGGGGTGTAAATAATAATCGTTTTGTATCGATGCATCGATCCAACAGCCGACAATCCGATGCATCGACACGTCCGCAAGATAATCGATTCATGTTTTTTTTTTCCCTCCGGTCTATTTTTATCCATTTGCTCCTGGGCGTAATTCTCCCTCCTGTGCTGCGGTGGCGCTAAACCTATTTTGCCCACCTACCTCGCTTCCTGGTTATACTCTTGCAGCAGTGTGTTGCAGTAAGCTTGACAAAGACATTTTTAAGTTGCTCAATATGGAAGCGTGGTCTGTGCTATACGCTGTGGGTCTAGATACGGCCGAGGCGGCGAGGAAGTGGGGGCGAGTTTAGTCCGACGACGGAGGGACATGAGGTCCAAAAAGAGCGGAGATCCGGGTGGAAAAAGGATCCCAGCGTTCTCACGCACCGCACTCTTCTAGCGGGTCAAACTTCATGAGTTGTTTTCCGCAATTTCGGTCATAAAAACAAAACAAGCTGGCCTCCTGTCTGCGGCACTGTTTGCGGTCAGCTACAATTTGGGAGAGGAGCAGCGGAGCGTCTGTGGAGGGGGCGGGGACGTCTGGAGCCGAGGTATTGAATTGCACTCATTGCACTAATTTTGTGCAGTATTTTTGCAGTATTTTTTTATGCAACTTTTCTACTTCTGTTATTTGTTTCTAAATAAATGCATAACGATTTTACAGCTTTCATTGATTCATTTCAAACTTGAAACTTTGTTTAGCCTGTAAGGTCTAAAAAAAAATGTTTTTTTTAAATTAATTGATTAATCGAATCGTATCGTGGTGTATTCTTTTTGAAAATAATCGAATCGTTGGGTCAGGAAATCGATATCGAATCGCCATGATAGGTGTGATTTACAACTCTAGGCAGCAGTAAGACCGTCTACTGAAAGATGGGGCTTTGTCAGCTCTTTGTTTCAGCTCTGCAGGAGCTAAGTCCACTATCTTCATTGGTTCGGCAGCTTTATTGCAGCAAATAAATGTCAAAATGTTTGAATTCGGGACATTTGTTCTTTGTTTTTGCCTGCTGCTATCATATTATCGGCTAAATGAAAATTAGCCCCTTGTTCTTTAATTTACAACCTTGACTTCCCCTCCTGCAGGTTAGGGAGGAAAGGTCCACAGAAAAGCTGCATCTTCTTATAAACCGCGTGGTTCAAAGCGTGGGAAAAATTAGCGTCTCATAGTTGAAAAAATATGGTACTGAAAAATGCTTGCACACTCTGTCTGCTGAATTAGGAATGCAAATCACTTTGGATTCTCTTTGAGGAACTGCTCCTGTATCTGTTTTTAAGACATGCAAACCTCCTAAGGATCAAACCCTGAAAAACCGCGTTGGATTTTCATTCCACTTGGATAGTTGCATGTCGGCCTTGATTCGTCACCAAAAACTTTGATTAAATAAGCGGTATTTTTTGGTTGTAATATTACAAAACATAAAATAACATTTAAAGAATAGGATACTTTTGAACAGTAAAAGGGTTAGGTTCAGGAAAGCAAGTGATACATCAAAAAACATCTAAGGTGGATCATAAATTAATTGATTAGCTTTTTGTAAACGGTGTAGGATGTTTTTATCATGTTAAATGTAGAAACACCTAGGACATCAGACTCCTTTGATAGAAAGGTTCGATAAAAACTTTAGTTTAGCAACTTGTTTGATTTGATTTTTTTTCCCTCTTTTTTTTCAGGTGAAGATTCAGGGTCAGAACAAGGAGATGTTGGCCGCGGCCTGTCAGATGTTCATGGGAAAGTCTGAGACTGAGGTCACTCAGATTGCCCTTGAGACGCTAGAGGGCCATCAGAGAGCCATCATAGCTCATCTGACTGTCGAGGTCGGTCCTTCAGCAAATTTTCCCCTGACTTTAAAGTCACTTTGCTCAGAATGATCTATATGGATCTTTCTCTTGTTTTACTTTTTTGTGCAGGAGATATACCAGGACCGTAAGAAGTTCTCTGAGCAGGTCTTCAAAGTGGCCTCCTCTGATCTGGTCAACATGGGGATTGGGGTTGTCAGCTACACCCTTAAAGATGTCCATGATGATCAGGTTAGTAGTTTCCTGGAAGGAGCTGAAATCGGTTGTTATAGTGAGTCTAATTTAGGCTTTCAGCTTCAGTTAGTTTCCGCTCATTAAGTGGAGCTAAAGGACTTTGATTGATTTTGACCAAACTGACTTCCAACCTCTTTCAGGCCTGAGTGCTTAAATTGTAACCAAACCTTTTCTTTATTTGGTTTGACTAATCTACTGCCATCTAAATGACTAAGTGACCTCTCTGTGGGAGCATAGTGATATAAAACAAAAAGCTTTATCTTCAGCCAGGGAAACTTCAACGCTAGAAGCGTTTATGGAGAACGTTCCTTCTCTTTCTAATTGCAGAAGTCAGATTCATTCTCCCCTTCATCAGCTCCCCTTCGTTTAGCAATAAGTCAGCCCTGAATCTTTTCAAAGTTTTCATTAAATTAGAGCAAAGAGAAGAATCTTCACTTATTCCTCTAAATAATTTACAAGTTTCCTTTATCAATAGCTATTTTTTCTGAAGGATTTAAATCTTGTAACTGAGCTTCTCAAGTTTAGCTTAGTTTAACTGAATCTTCTGAACTCTTTTGGCCAGACCTTTTATTTTTATCCTTTGTAAAACACCCAATGATGACTTGTCTTTATCTACATGCTTTATCCCCCACTTTTTTCTTTTAAAACTCCTGGTGTGGCAAAAAGGTCCTTAATGGGAGATTTAACAATATTTCAACAATATTCCTTCATAGGATAACAAGGTCAACAGAAACACTCTTGTACTTAAATAGGAATAGTTTTCTTTTGTTTTTCTCCTTAACTTGAGCTGCCATTGGTGTCTGAGTTGAGCTGGATGCAGGTCTCATCTGATTATCCACAAAATCATTCTTGAATATAACGCATGTTAACATGTTAACATGGCCATGCTTGACGCCACATTCTCTAAAAAGCGTTGGAACTTCTGAATCAAAGTACATTCAGGGAAATAGGCTAAAGGCTTATAGATGCATAAGTGCCAAACTACTTAAAAGTCAGTCTACTCATCAGTGTTTTAATCACAAAAAATAAAGAGCTTTAAATTAAAAGTAACATTGAACAATTTTGTAGTATTCATTTATTTTGTGTGAAGTAGTGCTTACTGTAGATTTGGTGTAAGTTTTATGTTTTTACAAGACTACTATTCCCATGATCCAAGGCATAGAAATCAGCTGTAGCCGTAGAAAATGGAAAAACTATAGGCAGTAGATGACTGGACCCACATGTCAGCTAGATAAACATGAACCTAAAGTATTTAGAGTTCAAATTTTAATCAGTGTCTGTCTGATTTTGGAGTTTGGCCAATAAACAAACAAAGCAAACAGGAAGGGAGAACTCTCCACCACACGTCTACCCAAGGAAAACGGGAAGTTAATGATTTGATTCTTCAAAAGTCCTTACATAATCTCATGTGAAAGTATTTATGATTGTTTTCCAGGCAGTTTTAGACTTGTTTGCCTGTCATTTAGATGGTTGTCATTGTTTTCTTTCTTCTTCTGTCTGCTTTGCAGGATTACCTCCACTCTCTGGGTAAAGCCCGAACAGCCCAAGTCCAGAAGGATGCCAGGATTGGAGAGGCCCAGTATAAACGTGATGCTGTTATCAGGGTAAAAAAAACAACTGTTCACAAATTTAGTTTTTGATTAATTTTTGGAGGAATGTATCCATGATCTGTTCCCTGTGATCTGCTGTGGGCAAACAGGAGGCCCATGCAATGCAAGAGAAGGTGTCTGCTCAGTACAAGAACGAGATTGAAATGGCAAAAGCTCAGAGAGACTACGAGCTGAAGAAAGCATCCTATGACATCGAGGTGAACTCCAAGAAGGCCGAGTCGGAGATGGCCTACCAGCTCCAGGTACCTACAGCCCCAGTGCGGTTTGTATGGTCATTCATCACCTTCTGTTGCTTGAGCAACATTTAAATATCCACCATCAGGTGGCCAAGACCAAGCAGCGCATTGAGGAGGAGAAGATGCAGATTCAGGTTGTGGAGCGTACGCAGCAGATCACCCTGCAGGAACAGGAGATCACCCGCAAAGAAAAGGAGCTGGAGGCTAAAGTGAAGAAGCCAGCAGAAGCGGAGAAATACCGAATGGAGAAGATTGCTGAGGCTTATCGGTGAGAATTATGGTACAGTTTGTTGTTTTTATGGAACGGGTATTTAAATTGAGATGCTTACCGTTTCCCTTCCACTTTCGTTCAGCCTGCAGCTTATCATGGAGGCTGAGGCTGAGGCAGAGTCAATTAAAGTAAAAACTGCTCTTTATTTCATTTTCCTCGTATTATTTATTAGGTTGCTTCCAGTTTTACAACGTTAAGCTAAGCTGTTGTCTGTATTTTTTGTGTCATGCAGATGAAGGGTGAGGCCGAGGCTTTCGCTCTGGAGGCTAAAGGCCGCGCCGAGGCTGAGCAGATGGCCAAAAAGGCTGAGGCTTTCAAGCAGTACAAAGATGGAGCAATGGTGGATATGTTGCTGGAGAAACTTCCTCTGGTCAGTTTAATTCTCTCTAATGGTATAATGAAAATAAAACTGATAATTAAACCATTTAGATAAAAAGAAACATATAAAAATGAATTAACCATTTTGATTAAAAAATACAAATATTCCCTTTTTAGCTTAGTGAGCAGTATTTTGTTCAGCTTTATCTGGAATCTGAGCATCATGAAAATGACCTAAAGACATCCCTGCATCCTTTTGGTAAAAAAAAGAAGGAAAACCTCATTCAAATTATAGCTACACGTTGCAAACTCCCAAGAAAAGATGTTATGGCCCAAATTATAAACCTCTGTAGTCCTTGCGTCTATTCACCTAAAAAAATTGCATACTAATGCTTTACATCCCCCGAACTGCTTATCTAACAGAAATTTCCTGAAGGATGATGTGGATGTGAAAATGTGAGAGCAAATTATTCTGGGCCTGAGTAAATTTCACCTAAAATGAAAAAACAAACAAATAAAAAACAGACATTTACATACAAAACCTGTTACTCATGCTGCAAAGAATGACATAAACACAGTATATTATAACAGCAACATCTGGGTAACATCTGTAGCCAGTCTGATGTCCACACAACAAGCAGTTTAAGTTATACGTTTTGTGTGAAAAGAATCCTGCTTTAGAGCAATTTCATTGGAACCACCAGGTTGTTTGCTTTCATCATCTGTGCATCTTTCAGCGTTGCTCTTGCAAACAGAAACTTGGTCATATAAGTAACATTTTGCCTTTCTGATTTTTTTTTTATTATCTTGCATGCTGTTGTCAGTGGATATAAGAATGAAGTATATATTTTTAGAAGAGTCTTAGATAAAGGTCTTAACATCTAATAAGTGTGTGTCAGTCTCAGAGCTAGCAAGCTACCAGCATCCTATCATTACTAAAGAGGGAAAGCCTCCTTGTATGGAGACTCATTGGTTTATTTAATGAAAAATAACAAAGAGGATAGATAACATTATCCTAGCCCCTCTGGAAACATCTCCACCTGCTAACTCAACCCGTTTCCTATTTCTAAAAAAAAAAAGTAGTTTTCTTTATTATCAACCTTTACAGAACTGGATTTTTGACAATTTTTTAAGGAACCTTTTAATGCTCTATAAACCTTTTACAATTCTAGTGATTCTTAAGTAGTTCTTTATTAAAAGGGTTCTTTATATTTTTAAAGGTGTTTTCATTTGTCAGAATCCTATTTTAGATAAATTCCTAACAACCAACATTTCGCTTTACTTCACAGATGGCTGAGGAGATCAGCAAGCCATTGGCGAAGGCCCAGAAGATCACCATGGTGTCCAGTGGTGGCTCGGATGTAGGAGCAGCCAAACTTGCTGGAGAGGTGCTGGACATCATGACCCGGGTGCCAGAAGCTCTGGAGAAACTCACAGGAGTCAATATATCACAGGTGCTCTAGAGTGCAGTCAGTGAGAAACCCATAAGTTCTCTTACTGAACAAACTCTGAATTTTTTCTAATTTGCTCCTGATCCAGGCTACTGCAAAGTCACCACGTGTGCGTTAACCGGAGGGATCATCGGGTCATCCTCCTTGTTTCTGTGTTAAATCAGTTCATCAGTTCCTGTCTCTGTGTGTTTTCATGCACTTCTTTCCTCTTTGTGGTCTCTTTTTCTTTCCGTGATCGCTGCCGCTATGCTTTCTGTTGATATCCACCTCCAAAACATAAGAATGTGGTTTTGTGTCCATCATTGTCATAGCCACACTTTAGCTTGTAACTTAAAATCTCCTCAGATCTGCTGCCTTTTTCTACCTGATTGTCAATATGCAGCTTGTTTGGCCTGTGATTGTCCTCATAGGTCCTTCAAAGGGACTGGGCCATAAGCTCTCACCTTTCTGGTAATAGTGCCTTTTAATTTGGTACAGAATGCAAAGTGCTTTACATCGTTCAGGGAGCCCCAATCACACCTGCTGCTGCCATCAAAGGGCCGTCCTATCACTGGAAGATCTGCTGTCTCATTAAAAACCCCACTGTAAACCTTTGGAGTCAGATCTCACCTATCAATTTTTTTCATTCATGTAGTATATATATTTTTTGTAATACAATAAATTTTTTTCTATTTTCAGAAGACAGTTCTGCATGCATGTTAGTCGTCTTATGAGTAAAAATGCTTAACACAGTTAACCAAAAATCTGTTTGTTCTGCAGCTGGAGGGATTTCTATGTGAAGATGTTGCTGGGGGGGGAAGTGTGAGACTGAACAGGTTCTGGGGTTTTCCTGTTTGATGCATTGAAAGTGTTTGATGGTTGGAGAAGAGCAAGTGTTTATCTCTGCAGAAGCATCTTTGTCTTTAAAGTCATTCTTAAAGCTGTTTGATAACCAATGCTGACTAATATCACTATTTACACCTCAGCTTCAGTGTTTCACTGCCTGGAGTTTAAATTACACTGGATTTCTTTTCTTTTTTTCAATACTAATTGTATTAATTTATACAGTTAATACAGAGTATTTAGTATTTACAGATTTTAGCTGAGACCCGTTCTTCTCTAACTACATCTGTATGTTAGAAACAGATGTTTCTGTATCTGATTTAATATTCTCCATCTTCCAGACTAACTGGCCAAAAACTTTGTTTTTATGCATTTACTCATCTTACCTCCAAAGTGCCTGGTCAAGCTTCCTACCTCTTTAGTTAAGCTCTTTCCTTTCTAAGTGAATGTCTACCTAATTACAGGTTATTAGTCATTACTATCGAAGGCTGTAGATGCAAATTCTTGTTAATATTCCTGTGAGGAATGTTACAAAAACATTTGTTGCATGACTACACATTAAAGTGAATCATATTTAGTGTGAAAATGCTCGTATTGAATATTCAATCTTATATGTATTAAAGTTTTAATAAAATGTTTAATTCACCAACAACAAAAAGGTTTTGGTCTATATATTTCCGTCAGGTGTGGGACAGTTGGAGGCTGCTTTGTTTATTTGAAAAGGGTTACTTTAATAAAACATCTAGAAAAATAGAACAATGAATGAGAGCTTCAAGGTAGCAAGCGTTTCTACAGAGACAACGGAAAGCCCAAATGCAACAAGAGTTATCTATATATTAATAAAGACAACTGATTATGTCCTTTGAATATATACATACTGTAAAAATTGGTTTCCAAGACACAAAGTGATGAAATTAGACATTGGGGACATATTAGACTAAGTAAAATGGGAAATACAACCACCTTCAATGTTACGGTTTATGTTTAAAGAAAAATGTGTTGGTCTTCACCAGATTTTAAAATGTGGTTAATGTACAATAACGTGGACACATCCTTTATTAGACGGAGTTGAAACAAAGTATCATATGGGAGTTAAAACTGAATGTAGGAGCTTAATAAATACACCTGTGTGGTTGCCTTTTCTATCTCCGCTTCAGTCTCTTTGAACCCCAGTCAGCGTCAGCAGATGGACGCTCACACTGAGCCTGATTCTGCTGGAGGTTTCTTCCTGTTAAAAGGGAGTTTTTCCTCTCCACTGTCGCTACAGGCATGATTAGTGTGAGGGTTTGCTAAAGAGTCAATGAGTCGATGCAATCAGCTGATTTCCTTGGATAGAAAACTGTATCAGTTTGACTATGATCTGGTTGAGTTGTAAAATGCTTTGAGATGATGTGTTGAGAATTGGCGCTATATAAATAAACTGATTTAAATTTAATTGTGTGGTAGAGAATACATTTACAGTTAATCATCACTAACTCAGTATGGAAATTGTTCTGCTGCTGAGAAGTTAGGGCCAAAAAGGTTAAATCGCAGATTTAATACAGAAGTCCCAATGCCTAACTGAAGCTGTAAATAAATATTAACATTATAAGCTACTGTGTAAACCTATCAAGATGAGGTTTTACTGCCCTGAGAGAAGCATGTTTTGTTTTTTGTTTTTTTACAAATCAGAAGGTTAGTTAGCCATCTGGTATAGTTTTGAATCCCTCATTCTATTTTATTTAAATTATTTCATACTGTACAGCTTCATTAAACACAAGAAATGCTCTTTGAAATGTGATCAGAATAAGTATGGGATGGAAATCAACATAGTTATCTATATCAACTATATCAACATAGTTAATCTCTTCTGCCACAGAGAAAATGGGCAGCTTACAGTAGTTCAATCTTTGCACTTGGGGAAAAAAACAAAAACAAACTGCTGCTTGAACAAATGACCACAGTAGAGATGTGTCAGGATAATGCACCAGATTGGAAAAAATGAAATTAAAATCAGCAAAAGCAGCGCAGCCGTATACTAACAGCCAAGTCTGACAGGACCATAGAAAGTCTTGTGACAAGCCACAGGACTCACAATAACTCTTAAGTTATGAGTATTATGGCTTATTATTAAAAATATATTCTAGATAATGTGTGTTTTAAAAACTGACATTGTTTTGTTTTCTTACAATTGGCTTACATGGAGAGAAAACTGCAAACTACCCGGTATGTTTAATCTGCTGTTTGAAAAAGGATCAGTCTGTCTACCCCTTCACTACTGCTTTTAAGGGCTGAATAATCATGTAAGGCAGAATCTTTCAATGCAGTGATATGTACTGTGATCAGGCGCTGAGTTACCATCAGGCAAAACTAGGCGGATGCCTAGGGCCCCATAAAACTCTTCATGGAGATATGGTTAATACAGTTATACTTATTTGTGCACATATTTTTTTTATTCAAATAATTTGCCTTAAAGAAAGTGTATCTTGAGTCTCAATTACATTGGATCAGTCCATTTTACTGCACATGTGCACAAAAGAGCTAGGGAGACAGCAGCAAAATGGACAAAAGAGGAAAGCAGAAAGCTTTTCTCAAAGCAACCAAAAGTGAGTAGCTTCTCACTGGGGGAGGGGCTAGCAGAGGCTACAATGATCTGGACACCTGATGGGGAGGGTCCTTATTCTGGAGATGCACCACTTTAAAAACAATCAGCATTAATTGGTCATATTGAAGTGGGCTTTGAAATTAGCTTGTTTTTGTTGACTTAAATACAGCATTTAAGGCAAAAGGGTGAAAATACAAAGGCTATAACAAAAAGAGGGGGGGAAAGGGACAAGGAGAAAAAAAAAGATCAGGAGAGAAATTTGAGAAGAAGGAAAAAAGACGATGATGAAAGGGAATAAAAATACAAAGTTTGGGGAAATAAAAAACTGCTGTGTAAACTGTTAACATTTCAGTATTAAAATTTTTTGTGTGTTTTCTGGGGGCACCATGCATGCCTTAACTTGGGGCCCCAAATTTGTCAAATCAACCACTGGTTAGGATAAATCAAATCTATCTGCTGTCATACAAAAGTGGTCTGAAACATTCGTTATTAAATATACAAAAACTTAGTTGGCAATTTTAAAACTAAAACTGACTAACTCATGTTATATCTTATTGTTTGGGAGGGTCTTCTTGTCTATGTGGCTCTCTGAAATGCACTTCAAAATTATAAATCCTCTTGTTTGAGATCAAGAAAATGTCTACAGGCATTAAACAGGAATCAGTCCTCCTTTACACTCTTTTAAAGTAGATAAGTGCTCTTAAAACCCTTTTCTGAAACAGAAAAAACATTTTGAGTCAGGACCATAAACAGGAAGCACTTCCATATTTGGATGATGACAATGCTTCTGTGATGTCCAAACACGAGGCTGGTGGTTTTCTATGACCCAGATTAAACTGAGAATGTTTTGTGGTCAAAATGTTCTTTTGAATCCCTTAATTAGGGTGTTGTTTTTTTCATGGTCGAAGCTAATACACAACGACAACATTTCTCTTAAGCTTTTGCTACTAAAGGTGGTTCCACAAGGTAATTAACTCCTTTTACTTTACACACAGCTTCTTCATTATAAATATTGATATATTATGATTTTGTTCATTTGATGAAGAAATCTGGTGAGGACCAAAAACAAATGTCTCTTTATACCCAAAACCTTAAATTGAAAGCAAGCATAGATTCTTTCTATTGTAAGCATGCTTAAACGAATGAACTACAGTGTATTAAAATGAATCAAATGACACAACCGTAGACAATCACTAAACATGTGTTACTCACAATCAGGATGATCTCAGTACTGATTTACAGTGCTGTACAGACAGTAAGGTAGAAGCACTGGTTCTACCTTGGTCAGGTTAAACATGAAATGCAGAAATCCACTTTCAAACCAAAAATCAGGAATCTCCAGAATCCCCCGTTTGAATAATGCCATAAAAATTACAGTGATATAAAAGGAAATTATATGATCAGTAACATCTCACCTTACACAGATTGTTGTTTTAATCCAGAACGCCATTCCATGTTTTTAAACGATATATTTTACATCTAATGGTTTGGCAAAGCTGTGGAGGGTTTACAGATTACAGTAAGTCTCATAAGTTTTTACACCACCTGTGAACATGCCAGGTTTTTGTGCCGTAAAAAATAAGACCATGATAAATCCATTTCTGATAGTCTTCCACCTTATTGTGACATCATACATTTTCTGCAATTATATTGTAAAAATAAATTTGTTGGGGGAAAATAAGTGAAAAAGCTGCAACATTTTAAGAAGCACCTTTTAAATCATTCTTAGCATTCAGTGTACTTAAAATCAGCAATGAATCAGATGAACTGTTACAGTCCTAGACATTGGATGTTTCTTTCAAATCAATGAAAAGACAAAACAAACTGGTCAATGCGGCCAAACAAAGGAGCTGCAGGAGGTTCTTGTAAAGGAAAATTTTGTTCAAAAATGAAATTTAATGAGGTATGAACTTTGCTTTCTATAATCTATTCCTGAACTCATAGTAATATTATTTTCTTATAATTTAAATGCCATTGGACATCTATATGTAAAAAACATAATTCCAGGTGAGTCTGGAAAAAGCAGGCATTAATATCTCCAAATGTATCACTGAAACACGATGGAGGCAACATCATGCTGTGGGGAAACTTTTCTCTTAAAGTAAGGTATTTAAAATACTTATAATCACAAGTCAGTTTTAAATTGAATACACAGGGTTTGCTAACAAAGTTAAGATAGGAAACAGAGTGAGTCCAAGCGTGCATCTAACTCAAAACATATTTTATTGGAAGAAAAAGCAAGTTTGGGAATTGCCCACTCAGGACTAAATCTGGCAACATATTTATGTAGTCACTTTAAGGGGAGTGTGGACAAGGGATTTTTAAAAATCAAAATCTGATAAATGAACTTTTCCAAAGGAGAGCGGACACATTTTTCCAAACCAGGATGTGGGGTTCTGATAGAGGCCGACCAAGAATACTGAATCCAGAAAGTGACTCAAAAGGTGCTTTAAAAAAAAAAACATTAAAGGGTGTGCAATTATACAACCAGGGTTATACAGCTTTTTATGCTTCATAAAGTCTTTCCTTTCAGATATTTTGGTTTTCAGTGGAAGTGTAAATGATAAAAGCCAATTAAAGGTGGAAAACATTTTTAAAATGATTCATCATATTATTTTTAATGTCACAAAACAATGGAGTGTAAAGGTTTGTCATGCATGTCCTGATAATGTTCGCAGCATTTTTGTGAATATCTGTAGGTAGATTCAGGAATCATCATTCAGACACATCACAGAAGTTTCATCACAGACATGGAAATTGCATGGAGGGTAAAGTGCTGCTGATTTGTGGAATTTTAAATGGATCCTCTCTGACTGGGTCACAGTCAAAAAGGGTACAATATAATATTAAAAAGAAAGAAAAAAAAAAACATCCAATGAAGTGCGTAAAAACAAAAAAAATTCCCAGAACATTGTCTCTCGGATAAAAATTCAACTTGATTTATTAATTTGAAGCTGCAGACTCTCATCTTCTGTGGCGTTTTCCTCTTGTTTAAGAAGTCTGGTCTTTCTCTCACACAGATGGAGGTCAGATTGCTCTTTAACTGTTCCTACGGTTAAAGATGGCAGACTTGATGTATTCACATTGCAGAAAGGGGAGCTGCTGCTGTCTGGGCCACAGACTTTTACTTATCCACAAACACCGTGGATGTGGGTCACTGGGCAATAATGAGGGGCTGAGATAACGAAGACGTAAAAGTAGGCCGAAGGGGGTGTAGCTGGGAGTAAGCTCACTGAGTTACAGTGCATACTCTGTATGGGCTATAAATACTAAGACAATCCCTGTGTGCTGTATCACCTGCAAGCAACAGGTATGCAGTATGCAGGTTCAGATATGCAGACAGGAAGAACATTCACCTGCTAACCCACAAATTAACTGGAAGTTTCAGACTTCAAAATTGTTTTTTGAGATTGTGATTAATTCATTGTTTACTCTACAGCACTGAATCACCAGTGACACAATCTCTCCTTAACTGCAAAGAAACCTAAACAAGTGAAAACTCATTTGCATACTAAACCCACCACCATTCACTATGAAATGTTACTGCCCCCTGCTAAAAGATGTCTTTGGGGGTCTGAGGTGGAATTCAAACCGAACCAGCGGTGTCTCAGCCCCATCCACCCAAAAAGTACAAAATACAAAAGCAAGAAAGCCCTCCTCCCTGTGAACACACCCTCCACCACACCACTTCAGCATGAGCGCTCAAGTTGACTGTCTTCCTATCGTTCCTCCATCAGACCATGTTCATGGCGTCCTCGGTTAGGAAGGAGTGGATGTAGGAGAAGGAGGGGCGGAGTTTGCAGTCTCTGTTCCAGCAGCTCAACATGAGCTCATAGAGACCCTGAGGACAAACGGCAGGCTTGCTCAGATACACCTGAAAGAGAAACACAGGGGTTTGATAAGCTTCTCACCTGCTCAAGACTGGATTGGGTTGTGCTGTGTGAGGACCAGAATCAGGCAATCTTAGCTTCATTAGCTGTGATTGGGGATCCGTTAGTGAATCAAACAATGAAAAACTAAATATTATTCAAATAGTGCAAATAGAGGCTATAAAGAACATTAACCTCCTCTTTAAATAATTTTTAGGGAGTAATTACACAAACTTAGGTTCAATTTCTATAGCCACATTTCAGAGAAACTACTAAATTAGAACCAGTCTGCAAGAATAAATAGTTTTGAGCTTTCTTTAGTTTTATTTTTTTTTTTTTTTTTTTTAATTCTGTTGTGATTTTATTACAGTTTTAAGTTTTACCATTTGTTAGCTAATTCCTTTTTTTTTATTTTTATTTTTTTATTGCTATGTAATACGACTTGCATACTGGGGGTTAGACTAAAAACAGAAACAAAAAAATAGAAATAAAATGTCACAAAAAGACAAACTGACTGCCATACCTGCCATCTGCTGGCATAATGCGGTACAAAGAAAAAGAGCAGCCAGAAACTACACCTCATATTAATGCTTTATGATAAAGACACAAACACTAAATACATTCTTTTTGAAAGTTAATTAATATATTTTTTGAATCTAGTTTGTGGCATTTTGTTAGTTTTACTTCATGATAATAAATGCCAGTCTGACAAAATGAGGTTGACTAAAGAAAGTATCAGTGAGCCAAAGTGAGAAGCCCTTATTCATAGATGGAGAAAATGTGGAACATTGGAGGACCGACCCAGGAGGCTACAACAAAACCCAGAAGAACATCTAATGCCCAGCAGGCCTCAGGGTTTTTCAGTGTCGATGATGCAATGGTAAGAAAGACAAAACAAAGACTTGTCATATAGGAAAGATGCTTCTAAGGCTGAAATCCCCCCTGTCCATAAATAAACCTAAAACATCTTGAAAATCTAATACTTTAAAGAAAAAAAGTAGAGTATTCTTACAGAGTCAGATAGCTTTTAAAGAACCAAAGAGTTAATTCCAGCCTTTGTTTTCAAAGCTGTGTTCATGTTGTGAAGTTTGCATAACTTTGTGAGGAGCGTACCTGTCTGCCCTGGTCTCTGAAGAACTCCCCTGCATTGTCTATGACTTGTTCATCTGTGAGGTTGGAGTACGGCTGCTCCTGACAAACGCTCAGCATCTCCCACAGAGTGACACCAAACGCCCACACATCACTGGCTGTGGTGAACTTACCCTGAGGACACACACCGACGCACACATTTAAACCTCTGCCTTTATCATAACAAACTCCATTACCGTCACATTTAGACACTTCGTTATCAGTAAAGGGCAGTGTGCTACTCGGGAATAAAACATTTAATAGGTTCATTTCACATGTGAGGACTATAATAATGAATATCTGATGTTTTTAGTCCATTATCTTTTTTTTTTGTATTTTTTTTTTGTATAATTTCACTATTAACTGACCAAAAAGCCTTGACCTGCATTTATAAGCTGTGAATCTCGAGAACAAGAAAAAGTGATAATTCTACAGAAAACTATGGAATTTTACTTTTTAGTAGGTCCTGAAAATTATGGAAAATAATATTGACTCATGTATCCGTTCAGATATGGTCTCTCATAGGACAACAAGGAGACACACAGGACTGACAACCATGCAGACATGCACACCCAGACAGAATATATATATGGTAGAACATAAAAGGTCCATAGAGAGTCTAGGTAAAGTTTGAACACAGGACCATCCCGCTGCAAGGAGTATTTAAGTAGGTAAAATGGGAGGGAGAACTCAACAAATTAGTGTCAGGAAGACTCAAACTACCAACAGGTATGTCTGCCTGCTCACCATGAGGATGCACTCCCAGGCCATCCACCGTATGGGCAGCACAGCTCTGCCCTGGATCCTGTAGTAATCTCCAGCGTACAGGTTTCTACTCATACCAAAGTCAGCTATCTTTATGTGACGCTCTCCGCCTCGATCCTCTCCGCTCTCACCCTTCTCTCCACCGACCAGGCAGTTACGAGTGGCCAGATCTCGGTGCACAAAGTTCAGGGAGGACAGGAACTTCATACCTGATGCAATCTGACTGGCCATGGAGATGAGAGCTGGATAACTGAGGAACAAAAGGGAGACGGTAAGAACTGTAACAAAAAAATGGGGATATAAATGGTCATGGGTGTAAATTTAAATGGTTAAAGGTACCTGATGGTCGGGGTGTTGAGTGAAGGCCCAGATTTGTCCAGCAGAACACGCTGTGACAAATACTGGTTCAGGTCTCCACACTCCATGTACTCAGTGACCATGCAGAGCGGGTCACTGCTCACACACACTCCTATCAGCCGGATGATGTTGGGGTCTTTCAGGCGAGACAAGATCTTTACCTCCTTCAGAAAGTCGTTCCTAGCAGTAGAAATGAAGAGATGTAGAAAAAAACATACTGCATTCAACAGTTTTTTTCTTCACTTTTAAGAATCAAAGGTCCGACATGAAGTTCTAGCTTTCTACACTTTTGTCCTTATTGATTTGCTTGTTAGGTCAATATGTTTGTGCAGCTCTGGTTCTTGAAACCTTCACACAGCCCGCGTTTGAAAAGCCTCACTCATAATAAAACTACAGAGATTCAGATATTTTTTCTTTGTTTGCCAAAAACATTGTATTAAATTTCTTACTGAACTAAACTCAACGTTAGAGTCTTTATTCAGGGCAGACATGTCACACCCTGTTCCCCCTATTAAAGCTGCTTCACATCAAATCCCAGTACGCTTAAGGCCAGAATTCACAAAGTTCATTTATGGCCTCTTTCTCTAAGCTGCTTTTCGTTTTTGCCTTTTTTCACTATAGGTAACTAATTTAAGATTTTAAAATAGATCTTTTGTCTGAGAGCTAGAGGCTATCCAGTGTTTACCGTCATGGCCCAAAAACTCCAGATGAAACCTGCCTGAGATAATCCCTTTAATTAAGTCAGCCACCTTTTTTACATCACTAGATCAGGATTAGTTTTTTTCTTCTTTAGAAAAAAAATTGGATTATCTAATGACATTTCAGTTTTATTAAAAATCCATCATTAAGAAACACCAAAACAATTCCTACAAAATAAATGCAACTGCTGTGGTTTTGTAATGTGTGCTTTAATTTTTTAAGTGATCAAATTTTCGAAGAATTGCTAACTAGTAGTCCAGGACTTCCCGCTTTCATGAGGGGATAAGGTTGAATAGAGGACTCTGGAGGACCAACGGAGTCTATAGAATGAGAAATAGTCAATTATATCTTTTGCATGCTCAGACCTTGACAAAGGTCATTGCAGGACGGTGCTGTTGTATAGAAAATTGGTTTAGCAGAACAGCTACCAATAGATCCCCAATGGTTTCACTAAAAACATCTATTTCTAAACATTTGTCCTGTTCACCGCTGCATAACCTCTCAAATAAAAGGTTTGATTTATTTTTACAAAAATGAGCGTGAGCTTATGTTTCTTCAGGCTTCCAAAAGGGTTATCTTTGTCTGCATATTAAAACAATGTCTGCATATCGACATTTAAATCCATGTAATGTAGAACTTTTATTAAAATTAATCTTCTGTTTTAAAGTCAGGCATAATCTTATATTCCTCATCCTGCGGAGGCAAAACCTTTACAAACTGCTTTAGTTTAACCAGGTTGGAAATATGTGAAATAATGAGTAAAAATTGCTCCAGTTTTTGGATTGGATTGTATCAATTTCTACTCCTCTAGTGTTCAGTGGTGTATTTTACAAATAAATATTTACTTATTTCCTAAATTATTAAAATAAAATGAGTTAATTAGCATATAAAGGATATACACAGGAAAAAGGCTGTTTCTGTACTCTAGACATATTGCATAAAAATGAAGAAAGCTTTCAACAGTGGCATCATTTTTTTACAAAATCCTCCTTTTAATTTGATCCTTAAATGTAGGGAGAAGTGCCGTAGTTCAGTGAAGTGAGAAACTGTGGGAGTGATGACACAAACCTGGCGTTTTTGGAGGCGTCAGGTCGCAGTATCTTCACCGCGACCAGAAGAGGGCGACCTTTCCTCACATTAAAGGGGAACTCCAGGATTGGGAGGTCCAGAGGGTTTTCAATTTCACACAGGTGGACCTTTGACACCATAAAAAAAAAAGAAATCAGACGCTGATAGAGAAAGGGGATACTTAATCTGTTTTTGTTAGTCTCACCTCCCCAAACTGTCCCTCCCCCAGCTTCTCCTTGAAGATGAGACACTGGCGTGGCAGCTCCGGCAGCGGGAGGGCGTCGGCTCCAGGACTGGAAGAGGCCAGGGCAGGTACTGCGTAGGTGTTGTTGCCGCTGACCCCCTGCAGACTTACAATGTCTGCTTCGGCATAATGTGGGACACTGGGAGGCAGTGGGGGGGAAACCGGTGGAGACAGAGATGGATAAGGAGGGGATCCAGGGTAGGGAGGAGGCTCTTCATGTGCTGGAGGGAAGCCCTTCTCCAGGTCCAAGTCCAAACCACAAGCTGGAGACAAGAGGAAAAGGCAGACAAGGTGGATGCAATGATAAGATAACCAAGAATATCCAAGTGATTCGAAACAGAAACAGGACCAGAAAGCCAGACAACTTGCTTTAAAGGGATAGTTTGGATTTCAGCTGCATATCCAACATTTACTGCACATAAAGCATTAAAAAGAAAATGGATCAAATCTAAGATGATTGAAAACAAGTTAAAAAACTTATTCCATGGAGTCAGCTCTCCTGGCCCAGGAACAGGTCGTTGATTAGCACAGAAGGAACATATGATCCTAAGCACAGCTGCAAGCTCATTCATCTACTGGAAGGCTGAGCTAAAGCCGAAATTATGCAGAGAAGCTGTCATCCTTCAGAAATATGGACACACCCCTGCACATTGTGAAGGATTACAATTTTGTAAACGTATTCCCCACTGCGGTCTCCTCCAGTCCGGTCAGTACATCAATCATTGTTTCATTAGGATAGTCCACAGTATATATTCACTCCCTAGTGACTTTTTTTTTTCCAGTGAGCGCAAAGATAATATATAACTTTATTAAATTTATACAAGACATATTCCTGCAACTCCCTGCATGCTTAAAAGGTATGAAACCCTTTATATTGAACCCACCTATGCTCATTTACAGCCTATTTCGCTCCAGATTTAAAACTAAATTTCAACCTGCATTTTCACTCACTGATAAAAAGTAAAACACCTTGAAAAGATAATGATTTTATGTTTGATAGCAGCGACTCCCAAAAGGTTCAGACAGCACTTGAGTCATGGGCTTGTAAGGAGAACAGGAGCTGAATACTAAGTTGTTTTACCTTTGAAATAATGATGAGCCTGATATGAGAATTTTTCAGCTTTAAATCAGATGAAACTGTGGCCAATGGATCATATTACCATGGATTATACAGATAACTTTAATAAAGGTGACATATTTACGATAATCTGGAAGGAGAAGCAGGAGTTGCAGCAGTGGCTGGGCTTCCTAAGACAACTTATTACCCATCTGCCATTATCAATTGAATATAACTGCACTGTATTATAACAAGGATCAAAACAGGATTATTGGGATTAATCTTCCTGAGTAACAAACAAAAAGCTGCACTGACCTTGTTTTGGAATTGCTTTGCTAAAGCACCTTTTTGAATTGACTCTCATAGCAACCCATATCCTACGGCTGATATTTCTCCACTCTGCCTTTCAACTGATATCCATCTCTTTCAGATTGTGAGGATATATCTCGTCCACAGCAATCTTCAACTAACACTACAGGTTTCTTTCTAATGTGATTTTTCAATAGAAGGTAACTTTAACCATTTTTCAATAGAATACTCAACAACATTTATTTTTTTTACTTTTATGTATTGGATAAAATAGAAACTTAAAAATAAAGATTTAAATTCACCTTTAGCTTCACGCAGACACCTGAAAGTTTGGGACTTAAAGCTTCTTATCACAAAAAAAAAAAAATGCTCTTTTTTGAAAATGTTTGGGGAATCATCCAAAGACAACTTAACCTCATTTGAAGTTATTATTGACAAGTTTTAAGATTTAGTTTTTGGGTAACGGCAGGTTTTCTAATTATCCCATTCATCCTCCCAACTAATCCTTTAGTCTGTCTTTAAAAGCTAGTTGTGCATCATGAAACATTTTAGTTTGAAACAATTAGTTAAATTTCAACAGGAGTGTGCATACAACCTATAAAGCCAATACATATTTTCTTTTTCTTTTTTTAAACGTTGTTTTTTTTTACTTTCTCATATAAACATATGGCAAGTCTTTCACTGAACATCTTATTTTTGTTTTACTCCACCCCCTTCATTCGCTCCTCTCAAATAACACATATTTTCTACTGTAACATTAAATATTTAAATGTTGGAAATTTCTATCTTCTTTGTGCCATTTAGGCTCATGGTAACACTGCAGAAAGTACTAACAGTGTTGCAGGTGGGTATACTCTTGACAATTATGTGAAATTTCGAAGTTAATCCAAAAATATATACCACTGAAAAGCTGTTGTTCTTGAAAGATTGGTCCTTGAACAAAATAAAGGTCAGTTTCTAAGATAGTTTGAATATTTTAAGCTGAAGATCCAAAACTTTGGTCTTTGCAGGAACTGATTCTGATGACAAATAAAAAAAATAACCATCCATATGAAAGTTTCTGTTTCATTAGAGCCCAAAGTATCCCTTTTAACAAAATGAAGAAAAGCTGTTTGTGATGAGTAAGAAAAAAGAAGGTAAGAAGGTAACATGTAGAAAAAGAGGATAAATGTTTAGGAGAAGAACTACTGCGTCTGCAGGTGAGTGTTGAAGCAGGGGATCCTGATGACAGTTCAGCCCAGTCTGAGGCTTCTTACCCTGGGGTACATTGAGGCTCTTTTCTGGAGCCTGGTTGACCTTGGTGACGACTATGGCTCTGGAGCCTTTTCTGTGATCTGGTAGGAGCACGTGATAGGCCGGATTGTTTAACAGCAAGGCTACGGGATCACAAACATATAGAACGAGGTGGGGTGTACAAAACAAAAATTATAACACACAACAAAACAGAATCATGACAGTGTTAGCGTGTCTTCGTCTATACAAGCAACGATAAGGGTTTGCATTCTGAGCACGGGAAAAAGAGGAACATCTCAGTAACAGGCATGTTAAAACAGCTCAAGCCACATTAAAAACTGTCTGTTTGGGATGTTTGTTACTCTTGTTATTTCACTCACACAGGCGCCTAGTAAAGATGGCATGCCAACCTCCTGAGGAACAATGCAAGCAAAGGAATGCATTTTTTCCCCTTAATCCTAGCTTCTCCTCCCTTTTCTTCCCGTTCCTCAGAACAATGGCTCTTTTGTGCCCTCTCTAGACTGTGCATCTTCTTGTAAGCAGTATTCCTTACAGAATGTTTGATTTGATTTACTTTTCTTTGGCATAGTGGAATATATTGTAACACCACTGTTTTCTTGATAAGCACGCTACATCAAGCCTATTTTCTTTCTTCTGCTGTTTTCCGTCTCTAAATAAGTTTGCAAAAATACAAACACAGGCATGCAAACTAAGCAGTGTGGTAAAACCCACAAGCATGAGTAAAAAAAAATGTAAATACGACTCATATGGAAGGTTGGATTTATGTCACATTTTCTGCTTATTTATTACCATCGCTGTGCAGTTGATGACATGTTTTACTTATTCCCTTAACTGTCAAAATTTCACTCGTTTTCACTCGTTTTCTGTCCATCCTAGTGTCGAACAGTGTCAACATCATTTGCAGTGTAGTGTTGCCGGTGGGACAGTTAAATGATTATGAGCACTGTAATTTTTTGTCCATATCAATGTTTTTATTTTATTCAAAGCTCTTTTATTAAGGAATATAAGTATTTCATGTTGATATTTTCTTAAACTGTTTTTCAAAATACATAACGTTTTTCTCTAGACTGGTGCATTTGTGAATTCCCCTTGATGCAGTCTGTGGGGGCTGCTTGTGCGTATTTCAAAACAAACTGATGCTTCTGCTGTCATGTCAAATGATCTGGGTTATGACGACATTTGTTTATGTTTTCAGCTTCGGAGGATATAATATAACCATACTGAACATTTTTTTTCTATTCATTTCGACTTTAATTCCATCACTATTGAATGATGAGTTTTTCATTTGTAGATACATCAATAAAAAATGCTTTGTTTAATATATTTCTATATGATGTATGTGATGCATAAAGCCGGACAACATAAGCTTGACATATTTGAAAGGGACTAATGGATGAAAATGGCCCCAAACTGCAGTGGAAAGTGCAAAAACCCGTCTAGAAAAATATCACTCCTCAGGAGAAAACAGTGAAACAAAAATGATGACTTGTGACTTTGAAAGAGCAATTTATTTCTAATTATTTACGTTCTAACCCTGGCTTTTATGCTGACTTAGAAAGAACAAATTTAAAAGCTAAGGTAAGCAACATTAAACAACTGTTTGTGACTTACTGGTGCTGTCCCTGTGGTCTCTGGGCCGGATGAGAGCGCTGGGCTCCTGATATTCCCCCTCTCCGTCTCTATCGTGGTCCCGGTCATCAGGGAAAGTGTGTATGCGCTGGTAGCGGCTAGAGTAGCTGTGTGTGTTATTGATGACCACGTTGTCTGAGGGGACGGACAGATGGACTCGGAGCTCGGAGCTGGAAAGACTGCCTTGGGCCTGAGAGGCAACATGAAACAACAATTAGGACAGATGGACGATCAAAATTCTGGAGATGAATTTTAATCTTTGACTGATTAGCAGCGATTATAAATCCAGATGGAGAAGGGCTGGTTCACTGCTAGAACAATACCTGATGCATTATTTTAGAACTGAATCAGAAAAACTAAAATATTTACACTTAAAAAAAAATTGTATGATATCAAGGTTTTATATTTAACCCACCTTCCCCAAAATCTTTTTCCAGTACTGCCTCCAAAGAATCCCAACTATAACAGCCAGCAGTAGCAGAATGATGCCCACCAGGCAGCCAATCAGAATAGCCGTGTTACTTCCATCATCTTTGGCTACAGGAAGTCCTGCCCTCGGAGTAATGCCAGCAAACTCACGTCCTGTGAAAAAACAAACATGATGAATGTTAACTTGTTTTATCTTTATTATTAGGAAAAATAATTCACTGCTTTTACGTTCCAACATTTTCAGACAAACACATTTCAGCTGAAGAACTCATAAAATGTGGGAGGATGTGCTTGAAAGTTACATTTATTAACAATCACAGCATTAGTGAAGCGCTTGCATGCATGTGACCTTCCACATAATTTGACCACACTCAGTGCAGATAATCTAAGAGAAATTAAACTCTTTAAAGGGGGGTCTGAAATCAAACCATACTTCTGTTAATAATCGCTTTACCTTCCAAGGCTGAAGGTTTAAGTATAAAAAATAATAAAGAGGTGGTTATGTCATAGCAAAAAGAAATCTATATAGTGCAAATGGTACACACTTCATGTAAAATATTTACATTTATTGATGATTTATGTGAAAACTTTATAATCCACGTACAAGATGTCTAATAAATTATTCACATTTTTCATAAACATAGGTTTGATGTTTAGAAAGTTAGCTTGTTCACATTTAGATTAATGTAAAATACATTTTAGACATCCCCACATATGCAAAACATAAATTATTATTAATTTTTTCCAAACCATTGGGAAAAGAAAGAATTGCCTGAAAGAATTAAACATTTTTTGTATACAGATAAAATCATTACTATCCACACATGAAGGGATAGTAATCTTTTAGCTAGATGTGAAGAAGCTGTATTTTTTAAAAGCATCAGTAACAATCCTAGTCATTTTTGACTATTTCTGTTTCTCTCTATCAGATTCCTTAAAATGTTGTTTTTTTCCTGCTGCTGAGAGTCTCTGTTTCAACCTTTTTAGGATTCATATTTTTAAATTGATATTTTTCCAAGAAAACGCCCACGCACAGCAGATTCATTCCATCAGCTAACATGTGATGAATCCAAGCCAAGTCCTGCCCTCCTTTTCAGGTTTGTGCATATCGTCTATGGTTCATCCACATCAAAAAGTTGTAGATCTATTCAAACCATCTAATCTCTCTTCATAAGCTCCACATCTATAACATTAACAGTATGCGTTCTATTGAGGCGTCTCAGTGAAACTTTACAGTAATCCTCCACCTGATAATCATTTTACGGCATGCAAAGTATAAGATTGGTTTGGAAGTTTAATGTAATAGAGTGAAAGTGGTGATCAAAGGAGACAAATGACAAACAGGATGACACCTGAGGTTTGTTTTACTCCCATTCAAACAAATGTCCTCAGGCACTTCCTTGATCATCATCCTGCCACATTTATATGATAGCGGACAGCCTGCTTCAGAAGACTGTGTTTCTGCTGCACCTTTGTTCCATTTTTCACTATTGTTTGAAAGCCTACATGTAAGTGCTTCAGTCCTGTTTTATGAGCCACTATAAGTGAGTTGTAGTGTATTTCTTTGCAGATAGAAATTCTCATATTTTATTACAGTTGTTTTGCCTTTTAGGACATACTATCTGGACAATAATCCATGGACTGCACATATGTGTGCAACCGGTTTACAAAAGTAATGCCAGTGCTGGGACCATAAATTTAATTAAATTGCTGTCTTAAATTTCCAAACACATGCTAGGCATAAAGAAAATGTGGGCTTTAGCATAGAGTATGTTGCCACATTCTCTGCAACTCTGGTTGTGTGAAGGTTTGGGAGTAAATGCGCCTTCAAGTCTAACCACAGAAAAACAATCTGGAAATTATGATTTAGCTCCGTACATGGTTTTATTCTGTAAATTAGTTTGTTTACGGATTCATCAAAACGTTATGATGCATTGCATGACAGCTTGGAATTTGGACATTCCCCTTTTTAGCTCTGGGAAAATGAAAGAAAAACCTCAAAGTATTTTCTCCTAATCTTGGTGTCAATATAAAAAAAAAGTTTTTTGTAATGAAACTTCTGAATTTCATAATTTCCATAAGGTCTATTAAAATACGACATTCCCCCCTAGTTCAAATGCTGCAGGCCCAACTCTTAGCCAGCAAGGATACAGTCGCTTTCAAAAGCATCTCATTTTGAAGTAGCATTTTAAGTTACAGACTAACACAAAAAAGTTGAACAAAAATAATGTCTGGACTCAATGTTTTCAAAATAAAAATCTAAGATGTTTTACCATATTCATTTTTTTAAAATTAAATCTAATCTTGTACAACAGGAAGTCTCCTAATTAGTAAAATGAGCCCTCCAAATTTTAATATTATAAGTATAAATTTGACTCTTCTGTTAGGACAAGAGAGGCTTGATACAATAAGTAAAGGTCAGGGATAAAACAATGTCTGAAATTTTAAATATATAACAAATTACTGCGTAATCTATGGTTTAAATGCAAATCTACCAAGGCATGGTCATCTTACTAATAGCTAAGTAAAAATGGAGTAAGAAAAACAAGAGAGAGGAGCAGGAGAAATCCAAAGCACTGGTGGAAGAAACTGCCAGCAAGACAACTAATTGACAAACACTCAAATATGCACTTTAAGGCATATTTGGGTGTTTTGGAACGTCATTTTGGGGATTGTTCTTTAATCAAAAGGGGAAAAAAAAGAGGCAGCAACAAAACTACAAATGCACATAACCCTGATCACATAATCCACACAGCTAAACATGGTGGCCGCTGCATCGTGTTGTGGCTAAGCTGTTATGCAGCAGGGAAATTGTAGAGGATTAGAGTTGATGAAAAGATGGATGGAGCTTAACACAGTGGGATGATTTAGATCATGTTTTAGAAAAGTCTATTCAGTCAAAGTCCTGACTGGCAAAACCACCAACAGTTAGTTATTGGGATTTACTTTCCAGTCTCTACATATAAAGCTGGTAGAGCCATATCCTGCAGGATGTGCAGCTGTAACTGCAGCAGAAAGTAAATCTATGATGTTCTGAACTCAAATGCAGACCACGCCCTTCTGATTCTTACTAATGAGAAATGTGTCCTTTTAGTTCCACATTACAGTGTAAAGCACTACTCTGTTATTGGGCCTCCAACTTTGCTTATGCCAAGTCTGACAGACTGGAGGCATGCACACAATAGAATAGAAGAGCATTAGAGGTGCTTGGCACATAGTGTGCTGAGGCATATTAAAGACTATAAAACCTTACTTCACTTATTCATATCCTTTCTTTATCATGTCTGTCTGTCTCTTCATCCATCTTTGATTCAAAAACATTCTTCTGTTTTTCATAGTCTAAGAATTAACTTTGAGAGGCTTGTTATTAAGCATGGATGCATTGTCTTATTATGGGCTTAATTTTTAATATTTATATAAACAGTTTATTTTGATAACAATTTAAAATACATCTTCAGCAGTGTTTCTTTGATGACTTTCAATTCAAAATAGGAACAGTGGCAATCTCTCCCGATATCAAAGGCTCTGTGAGAAGTGAAAGTGTATTCAATTTTTAACACGGTTATTCTCCATGTAGGCCACTGTGCTTTATTTGAAGTTCTGAAACACAGCGTGCTCATACTCTATATTCTCTGCTATGTCACGTCTCCACATATCATAACTAATCATGGTGGGCTGCGGCCATTTTTTGGCCCTGGTATTTTTTGAAGACTTTTAGAAGACTCCAATGTGTGCAGCTGCAAATCCTCAATAAATAAATAAAATAAGAAGCCACAACAGGAACCAATACTGCTGCCAACTTTTCCTTTTCTCAGTTATAGAAAGCATTCCTGGATCAGAGCTTCAAATTCTCTTTGTGTGTATGCCCTTTCTGCTCAAACTTTCATTTGATTGTGGCAGAAGGCCATTTATGCTGAGCCTGATTTTACCTGAGGGGAGTTTCACTCTACTATCACCACATGCATTCTCAGTATGAGGCATTGCTGCAAAGAAAATAACACAATGCAAGCCGCCTTCAACTGCACATTTTAATCCAGGAGGATTGAATTCTGTAGGTCAACGACTAGATTCAATCTGCTGGGTGTCTGTTGAACAAGTATGTTAAAAATTGCAGATTTCCAATGTTTATTTTAACAAACCAGATTCAAATTATTACAGTTCAGTAAAAAATATATTAAGCAGCCCTCAGTGAAAATCATCTGGGCTGAAGCAGAGAAACCTGCAACATAGAGACCCCTGTGGACCAAATATAGACACTCCTGCCTTATAAATACTGACCAATCAAGTATGATTTGACAAAGCTGACTCTACAGTAGCTTGAGATGATAAATAAAACTGATTTGATTTAAAAATAATTTATGCTTCTTTCATCTTAAGGGTATTTCTCTTTAGAAATGTAACTTAGGTAGAAGTAGACAAACATCCTCTTAATTCAGTTATTCAACATTTAAATTATTCTGCAGCTCTGAGTGTTCATCCACTGTGTGGGTTTGTGTATATATAACCAGAGCAGGGAAGAGAGGGAGTCACACACCAGCAAAGATACAGCAGGCTTACTCAACATCTGATAGGGATTGTCTGCTTGAATATGCACCATAACCCTGAGCCTCCCATACCCCACTGCTTAGGGAACAGGATGCCAGCGTGCCTCCTCCTCTTCTTAGCAGCTTTGTAGTCAAGTAATCAGAACCTAGTCTCCTTTTCTTTTCAATGTCAGCTGAGACATGTTTGATGCATGAGGGAAAAACAGCTTTCCACTGGACTCAATTGGCTTTGTGAAACCTGCACATAAACAAATTATTTTATAACTAGGAAAGTCTAAAAAAGTTTGAATGATGTGGAAAAGTATTCATCCATTCACCTTGGCTTTTTATGTCGCACTTAATTGTCAACATTTATTAAACTATTTTAAATAGAAGACAAAAATCGCTTAAGAAAATAAAAGTTTTCAAATATTGATTTCATTTATCAAAGACAAACAAATCTGTCTTTGTGAGAGAATATAACTGCCTCCCTTGTTAAAGCAAATGTTACATTACTAAACAAATAAGTGTCAAGCTAAAGTTTTTAAGAACATCAAACTAATTTCATTATTAGGCAAAGAAAACAACAGTTAATACAACACAAAATACCATTTTTAGTATTAAGGAAGAGAAAAAAAATCCAACTATTCTCAAAATCACTGTTTTAACTATTGTATATACAGGTCAGTTTAAGCTCATGTAAATATTTTCAAGAATACCTTAATATTAATTTGATTTAAGATTTTAAATTAAAACTATTTTTATGTTATTCTTCTCAATATTTGGGAGCAAACAATTATTGTGAGCAAAATTCATGGCATAAGCCTTTATGTTGATCAGGTAATTCAATTTATTGTATTTCAAGATATTGTGAAGGATCAGGCAGAAGGAGAGGCTGAGGGACAAACCAACTATGTTTTTTGTTCTACTATATTAATAACCCAACAGTTGCTTCAAACATTTACCCACTAGTTATCTGTTAAATCTCTTTAAATAGTGGAAAAGCAACTTTACATTTTTTTTTTAAGCTTTAAGAAACTGTCATGTTCGTTTACATCCTGGGGGCTAAGCCCCTCCCCTGATTCCTAAAATCTACTGATGCTGTACAATCGCTGCTTTACATTGCAACCAAGTGTCATACCCTCCATGTCATCCCATAAAAAGAAATAATAAACCACTTTAAATAAATGTACATATGCATAACATCCTTAAATACACATTTAGCATCAAGTGTTTTAAAAATTAGTCTGTCAAAACAGAGGAGAGTCCCTGCATCTCTTTGGCCCTCTATGTCTGTGTCCCTTGAACATCATGCGGGTAATAAATAAACCTAGACAAAGCCATCCAACCGCATCCAGTAAAAAGTACAAAGCAGAATACATGCCACAGAAAACCATTTCCAGCTCTTTTTATTTTTTTAGAGGCTGTTATTGTTTAGCAGTGTCGAATAAAGCCAGCTCGCCAACAAAACATGCAGTTTGTGAGACCACAGGAAGCCAAGATGTTATTGGATGCAAATATAATTTACTATGGCTGCGTTAGAGTTGTTTCCTCAAGCTATTTATCTTCAAGATCCTGTCCCCCTAATCCCTGCTCCATTATTATACTGCAAACTGTCTACTTAGCACAGGGACGATTTTTTTAAGATACTGGAGGACAGCCAACTTAGAGGAAGTCGATTTTCCTCTGTGGCTTTTTTAAAGAGATTTTCCTTTGGTGCGCTCTCTCTCACCTGACAGCGTCCAGTTACCAGTGGTGTCCATCACCAGGGTGGTGGCGTTTGGGGGTTCTGGAGGAGCGAGGGATGAACAAATGAGGAAAGCATGAGAGGAGAGATGATGAAGGCTCAAAGAAAAGGGATAAGGTGGGATTTTCATCCAACGTGGTGAATACAGTATTCATTTACATTCATGCTGGCTATTTGTGATGCCAAACAGCCTCTTACAATGATTTACCCTTTCACTTCAAGATCTCCAAAAGCACAATGAAATCTGGAAAATAATTTCTTAATACCCGGAGGAGTCTAGAGATTATCTTTCAGAGCTTTGACAAAATAAAATTGGCAAAAACATAAAGATGGCACAGAAACAATGTAAAGAGAGTAGAGAGTGGATGTCAAGTGACAATTAGAAGGTGGTGAGAAGCGGCTCAGACCTACCAGACGGCCCAGAGGTGCTGCTGAGTGAGCTGGGACTCCATGTGGGAGCAGAGGAGGTGGTGTTCACTGGAGGAGACGAACTAAGATCTGGAAACTTTGGAGGATTGTGAAGAAAAGAATTTTGGTCTGTCCCATCCTCCTCAAACGGCTCTGGATATGCAAAATACGAAAAATGAAAAAAAATTATTAATTACAGAAATATTTCCTGATTATGCCACAAATATTACTTTTTAAAGATGTTTGCAAGGAAATTGGAGGTTTATTCCTAAGTTTGATAAAATCTTTTCCTATTATTACTTTTTTTTGATTATCCACTGTAGTATTGGGAGGTACCCCCATCAGCAATTCCTTCTAACTGGTTTTGTCGCTGATGGAGCTGGTGAGGCAGCAGCTCCATCACTTTAATATGAAGACTACGGCAGCTCTCGCCTGAAGAAGCTGGAGGAACAGCTTTAGATCGAACAGACCTTTAGATCAGCAGTCATAGCTTAAATCACTCTGAAAGAGCAAAACACTTTCAAGGGTTTGTTCCCTATCTTTGCTAGATGAAACTATTATTATTAAGTCATAGATAAATAAAGGTTTTGGAAGTGTTGGTACCCTTTTTCTTTAAGTTATCGTAAGGACATTTAGCCGATTGTTAGTTTTAAATTACCCTTGCACCAAAGAATGTTATTTTAAAATTGAATAAACCAAATTATCGTGATTTTCTTTGTTTTAAACGGACGGCACAAATCATCATAAACATACAAACATAGTAGAGTCTGGCAGATTTGCTTATGAAAAGAAAGGCTCTCTATTCTGTAAATTCTTTATGCAGATTTTTATAGTTTTCATGATAAAGACAAGAGTGTTATTTTCCTAAAGTTAGATTGAGTTCACTCCCTCTTTTGTAAATGGTTGTACATTTAGTCAGATTTAAAGCACCTGATTCTGATTTTTACTTAAAACTTTTTGTTTTATGTGGTTGAGTTACAAGGCTTTCTTTAAATCTATTTCAATCTAGTTTGAAACAATTATTAAACACTATATTTAGCAAAAATATCCCCCTATTTTAATCTTCAACAATCACCTGACCTCCTAGGACATATTTTTTTACTACTCTTGAATTGTGGCAAGTAAAATATCTCCAATATCTGCAAATGGCCAATAGTCCACATTTAGGATGTGCCTGATCAGTTCTCATTGATTAACACACGTAGAGACTGCCATTTTTCATTTTAGTGTTTCTACTCACCTCGAATGTAAATAGAAACCTTGGTGTTGGTATAATTTGAATGTCAAAATTATAGATTTCTTCTCAAACACAACCCTTTTGTAAAATGTCACTAACACAAGTAGATGTGAAAGAAAAAGTGCATCTGTGGTCACAGCTGGACAAAAGGACTTCATCAGCTTAGAACCAGTCTTTCTAATCAGGAGGTGATGGATTTCCTATTGACAAGAATGATGGATTGCGTTTGCTCACTATCTCACGAGCTACCATCGGTGTTGTAGCTCACGTACAGTGACTGAATGCTCACAGCAAGCGGGTGTGCAGGAAGGGATTGTTTCTGAGCGCTGATAGCAGTGAAGATAAAGGATTAGGTCATGTGGATGATTTAACTCAGTCGCGACTGAGTTAAATACCTGGATGGAGCATATGAGGCATACAGGAACAATCATCCACCTTGATGATTGCATTTGTATAATTTACTCATTAGAGCTAAATATCTTGCATCTACAATTATCCGTTTATTTTCAGACAGCAGACAGGCTTTAATGGACCCGATTTCAGTCTGGAGCCATTATTCTGGCATTCACACAGTTTTACAGCAACATTTCATTTCATCACCTTTATGATTCAAACCGACAAACTAGACTCTGCTGGGTGAAATCTTTCTTGCACTTGACTTTGTGAGACTGCACGGCAGCTAGATTATCACATCGACCCTGACACAATGAACAGCTTAAGCAGCCAAGGTTATCTCAGTTACAGTGCAGATAGGTACACCTGACTCCTGGGCAGAAAGTATTTATTATACTTCAGATACGTTGAGGTAAAAACGAAAAAGAAAGACAGTGGAGGTTAGAAATCTGAAACTTTGACTTTCATAAGAAGTGTATAAAAATGTGCCAGCATGGTCATATTAGCGTACATGAAGAGACAAACCATACCAGAAGGACTATTTGCAAATTGTTTTTTATTAGAGATACTAAAATGTAAATGCTGGCAGTAGAAGCATTCTTCTGACAGAGGAACTATTAGGAAACAACTCGTAAATAACCTTCCACTCTGGACCTCGGCTCTTTTTTCCTAATATGTGTTATGCATATAATGATATGCATAACTTATGTTTGTAATTGTTCTCTACTTTGTTGATGAAGAACCTCATGTGTAAAAACATCCAAGCCTGCTGTGCAGCTGCAGCCCTGCATATAAATGTAAGCTCCTTTGAGTCCACTGCATTTTTTTATGTTTCAAGAATAAATGCAAACAAGGGTATGTTTATAAAATAAATGATTTTTTTTTTTTTAACCATGGATTTATGCAAAATACCCTTATGATCAATTGTTTAGTCTATCTAACAATGTTCAACCCTATTATATAAAACTCAAAGTTGTGATTGAGGCAATAGTTTTAGTTAATTTTATTTTGAAAGGCTGGCATTATGGCGTCTTTAATGCCAGTTTTAGCTGTGTAATAAAATATCATTTTTCAAGAGATTGCATTTCTTTTATTTTGGAAGAGTAAAGCAGCTACATTGGTATGATTAGTAGTTTAGTTACATGTATGTAATGTAATTCTAACTTCTTATATATAATGATTTCTACCAGACCAGACCAACAACAATCAACAATTTTAAGCATGTTTAAACTATCAAGTACTGATTATTTCCCTTAAATGGCAGCCTAAGGCAGCTATTTGAATACCCTGTTAATTCTGAATTCTACATGGGTGTTATTTTTAAAAGCCAACATTTTTAAAATCTGTCTGAGCTCCATCAGTAATACGGAACAGACAAAACCATAAAATTGTATCAAATAATAATCCTTTTGTTTTAAAGGGTATCTAAAAATTTCATTTGGAAATTCTAACCCTTTTTATAGCAGTAATACAGCATTAAGAACCTGAAATTTACTCATGTACATTAATTTATGAGAATGCAGCCTTTTATTTTGAAGAGTGGTTTTGGGAACTGAACCAATCTCTTGAATGTTTCAGCTCAGACTGAAAAATTCACTTTTTTCCTTTTTGCCAAAATTATTCAACTTAAGTTTCATCTTAACGCCAAAAACTGGTGAAATCTTGGATCTTATAAGAGAGAAAAAATGTAATGTAAAGCTTTTCAGTTTTTGCTTTTTTATTTACATATTCAGATACTTGACCTTGACTTGTTTTCAGAGTTAGAGAAAAAGTGGAAAACAAAATATATTTAATATGCAATAGATTACCTTAAAAGATTTGAAATAATAGTTTGTAGTCAAACCTAAAATATTTTCACCATGGATTTTTCTTGGAAATAATAACAATATATAAGATGTCAATATATCTATGATGCAAGAGCAAATTTTGTGCAGGCATATAATGGCCCAGAACCAGCAGGGGAGCCACTTATCTCAAAATGTAAAACCAACAGATTCAGTTTCCTACCAGAGAGGAAGGAGATCTCGCTGATGAGCAACCAGCGGTCTGCAAAGAAGAATTTGCAGCGGAGGATCTGAGCCAGCCGGCCGCCGAGCGGCAGGGAGATGGGTCGTGAAGAGGGGTCCTTCAGATCTTCTAGGGGAACAGGCAGTGCGAGTGCAGGAGAAGACCAGGGCTGCAGGAGGCCAGGCTTGAAAAGACACTCTACTTTGCTGAAGACTCGCACGCCCTGCGTGTGGCGGTTGTTACTGTGTACCTAGGAAAACGGCACAAGCATGTTTTCAAGAGAAAAAAATATTCCGTTCAAGATAGGGATCAAGAGGGATAGAGATGCATTTAGGAAATCTACCAAGTACGTATGTGAATTAGCTTCAATATGTGGCAAAGTATGGGATGTTTATTATTCATAGTGAGTAGAGAAGCTGGAAAAGATCAAATTAAGAAACTAAATTAATGACACATTTCCATTTTGTTGAACTATAATTGCTTTGGCATTAAAAGCACAGAGCGGGAATACAGATGAACAAAATAACCAAGGGGGAACACAGGAAGGAAAGTCACTAGATATGTTTACATGAACATTATTATTTAGAATAAAGACCGACGTGTCACATAAACACAGGGATTAGGAGAAATGATTACATTGAGCTCAATAGGATTGATTTTATTTTTTTTTGATTGAGAGGTGCATAATCCAATCATGTCCATTTAAAGCAATTCTTCCAATCATTTAATTTGGACTGGGGCAAGACCTGCCTGCACTCATGTGGAAGAAACAGGCAGCACAGTTAAAGGTGGGGTATATGATCCTGGATAAACGGTTCCTGCCAGCTACATTTTTGAAAATACACACCTTCAGCCCACCCCACGAAACCACGCCTCCAAATTACATGAACGCGCCTGCTGTCAGTCGAGAATGTTCGGATGTTCCCGAGAACGAGAAAGAAACAGGCCGAGACCTCGCGAGTGCACGTGACTCGGGATGAGGCGAGAAGCTCATGTCTATTACTAGCTAACCACAACATAACAGGCTAACTTCCATGATGGCGTCGTCTTCTCCTAGTACGGTAAGAGTGTTGAACAATTCAATATGGTCGTAAACAAGTTGTCACGGTTGTCATTTCAAGAAGTATTGATTAGGGTGACCAAACGTCCGTATTTCCCGGGACATATCCGTATTTCACGTCCTGTCCCGGGCGTCCCGGGTTTTTTTTAGAAAGTGAGGAAATGTCCTGATTTCACTGCGCACGACGCTCCGTGTGACGTAATCCCTGAGCCGTGTCAGTGCAGGCAGCCCTGTTCTTAATCAGAGGCTCTGTTCAAAAACCTGGGCTGCATCCTCCAAGGACGCGGTCTACCTAGACTGGACCCTTCGAAGTCCTTGAAAATAAGGAGACCACAAGAGTTCTGTCTGTAAATTCGAACAGGTCCTCCCTTCAGCGGCACTTGGGGGGGGGGGGGGGGGTCACGAGTCTGTGAACGCGCAGGGGGGAGGGGTGGGGAGAGCTCAGAGCTGACGGTTGATGGGCGTGCCAGAAACCAGTAGAAGTAGGGATGATAGTTACTTCTATTGGTTTGCGTTTTCCTCTGACTACGCCCTCTACACTGGACTAAAAGATTTCGTTTTTTTTCCAAACATTCTATCTCAGTTGGCGCAATGGGCTCGTGAGGAGGTTTTCAATCAGTATGGTAAAAACATGCTCCAGAAAACATCACATACCCCACCTTTAAAGCACCTTCAACCAATCTAAAAACCTACAGAAAACAGTCAAAACCAACACACTACTTTGTTCATTTTATCATTTTTCTTTCCTTAATGGGTGGAAGACCTTGTTGCAAGTGTTTTTTTAATACTGACATTTCAACAACTATAACTAACTCAGATTCATTATTTGAAATTATTTGGACACACACAGGAAAAAAATGTCTCATTTTTGTTTTGAATGCAAAACCTTTTTCAGTTGTCATTGGATTCGGCTTTTGCTTCAGTTTAGCTGCAGGAACGCTAATATTTTAGTTAGAGGAATATGGGTTAGCAGAGAAAATGTTTTGGTTAGCTGTACTTTCCAACGCTGGTTATTCCAGTTTTCACTCAGGTTTTCCAAACAATTTGTATATCTTCCTAGATTTTTGGGCTTAAAAAGAAATGAATATTAGCTAAAATGGGCGTCAGAAGGTTTCAGCTTTACAAAAAAAAAAAAAAAAAAAAAAAAACTGTAGAGAAGACATCAATCACAGAACTCAATGAATCTCTCACAAGCCCTAATATATGAGGCTGAGAGAATAGGGAGGAAGTTTAGAAGATGAGAAAAGGATGTCGATGGTAAAAGGAGTAAGTGAGAGGTCAAAACTTAAGATCAGAGGAGGAAACCAAGAAGGAAAATGGTGGATTTTATTTTTCTTTAGAGATAGAGGAGTTAAGAGTAGAGGTTGCCTTGACAGGCTGGCTGTTAACCTCACACAGTGCAGGAGCGGTCATGCTAATCTAATCCACATGTTAACGCTCACACACACACACACACACACACATAAGATGCAAGACGTCCAGCTGCACCAGATGCTCTGATGACGTGTATGCAGCGTATCATGGCTGTACGACTGTAACAAGTAAATGACTACTCCGTTAGGGAATACAGCATACAATGACCTGCAAAAGGTTTTTTTTTCCCTTCTTTTTTTTTAAGGAAAAACTCTGAATATATTATATTTCACTTTTTTTTTAATCATAAATCCAGTCTCTATTAAGTATTGTCTCTGATCTTTCTCTTTAGTTTCAAATTCGCTGACAGAAATGTTTTAAAATATTCCCAAAAAGGATTGATTTGCAAGTTGACAAAAAGCAGACTCAAGAGTGCTGTGATTGTCAAAGGGTTAGAGAGCAGATTTCCCATTTGGGGGGGCTATTAACAACAGGTTAGGGAACTCTGTCCAGCAGAGACAAGTCAACCAAGATTTTGGTTCAGGTTCCCAGTCTTTATTTATCTGACCTGTGCGCCTGACATATCCGCTCAGTCAGGCAAGCATAACAGTGTATGTCAGCTGAGGTTAGTGTGTGAAAACCACAGGGGAAAATTCAGGAAAAGCTGTATAAGTCTAGGAAAAACAATAGAAATACTGCTGGGAGATATTTTAAATTGTAACTAAGGTAAAGTAGAACAATGCTTAACAAATGAAGAATGAAAAATCGGTTGAGTGTACGCTGAATATAATTAGATTTTTATGAGTAGTTTTTGGTTGTAAATTCACTTTTAAATATGTACGCTAGGAATTTGTTTCACCCAAGCCGAAATTCCAACCCCGGTCTAATGCAAAAACACAGTTATAACTCAAACTGGGTTGCTTCATATCATTATCTCCATGGTTGCTCCAAAAACTAACCCCAAAAGCCACACAGACGCACAAACCGACTGATGAAACTCGGTGGCTGCCAGAGAGACGAGCAGTGATGCACTGTCCTGCCAGAAACAATGGTGCATTCAAACTAATTAAACGGCCACAGAGCTATTTCAGTCAATATGAAGCTGGTGGCAGATTAACAAAGCTAAACACATTACAATGAAGCTGGAATATGGGAATCTCAAGGATATCTCAACCATGATCTAGAGAATCATTTAACACCAAGCAACTTTTACATTCACATCATACTTTGAAACTTTAGTTTTTAATATTTACTAATGAAAGTACATACAACCTAAAATATATCATTGAATTATATAACGGAAAAATTACATGTCAGAAAAGCTGATGTAAATTGGAGTTACACTAGAAAGTAAAAAACTTCATTAGAAGAGGAAAGACAAGCCTTCCATTAGTCATCTGGTGTTTTTGTTTTTGAACTAATGACTTCAGTTTATATAATCACTTTAATAGTCTGTGGTAGTTCTCCTCATGTAGTAGCCTGGACCATTTGGCCAGTGATTGGAGATGGATAATAGGATCTTAAAGTTTCTCATTAGCGATAACGGGTCAAAAATCAAAGAAATCTGACATTTTATTACAATTTTTTAAATGCAGCAAAACTAAGAATTTCCATAGTCCTTTAGCTCTAAAACACCAGCAAACATTGATGGACTTTGAAGGGAGATGAGGTAGCTAGGTTTGGAACACGTGTTTGGTGCATACATAAGGAAAATCTGATTCAAAACTACTGAAAGTCTCTGCATTATTATTTTTCAAAATGGAAAGGTATTGATTTTAGAGTATGTGCAAACCAGGCTGGAAGGCATTTATTTTTTTCTGTTGAACCCATCATTAGGAATCATTGATTTTAATCCAATTCAAAGCTAAATCAAACACAGCAAATTATTTTTCAGACCAAAATTGAATATTACAACAAAGTAAAACTATTCCAACTTAACTTTCAATAAAACCAAATAGATAATTAATTTTGAATCAAGTGAAATTCATTTTCATACCAGCGCATTTAATTTTAAATTATCCTGAAAAACTCAAAGTTTCTGATAGCAAAAGTTTCTGTCTATACAAATAGACCCGATGGTAATGTATTCAAACACCATAAAGGCAAAATTAAAATGTGTCCGTCCTCACCTGCATGCTGTTGAAGAACCTGGGCTTCTCAAAGTGGAACTCAATGTCCACACTGCCTTGCCCAAGGGCTTCCCGACTCCATCCAAGGTAATCGTACCCTGGCCACACCCGCAGCTCAGTAGTTTCTATAAAGTCATCTCCTCCTAGGACGCCATCACAAAGCTGGCCGAGGCCTCCAAACTGCATCCTGAGCAAACATTGCATCATTTCCATTAGATGAAACAGCAAGAGGCAAATAAAAGGAGCAAAACTTAAAGATAAACATGCAAAAACACATTAATGGCAGAAACACATCCCAGCTGCTCAATCCCAACAATCAGACCTCATCTCCCCACAGTATATGAGCCTTTGCGCCAAAATCTGAAAAGAAAACGTCTGGATTACATCAGAAGTGGCTGCTCTCTCGTTAGCAAAACATTTCAGCCCCATTAACTGCATTGCCTGTAAGAATGTGGACCCCTCAACCAACCCGAAATTCCTGGGTTACCCCTCATTGCCCACTGCCAAACACTATGGTCTGGAAACACGCCTCAAATCTCAGGGCGACAAAGGAAAATAATGACATCTCTAGATTAGGTGGAGAAAAAACAAAACACCTTTCAGGTTGAGCAGATGTGATAAGCACCAGGCATATTACATTTTCTTTCACAGTTTATTATATTTTGGCCCCATCTGAACATTTCCATAAAAGTTCAATCGGTGTGAGTTTATGAAGGCGAGTTACCTTCTACTAATAGTTAAAAGTTTAGACAGACAAGAGGTGCAGCAGAGTATCTTACCCCTGTTCGGTGCTCCCATCATAGGTAGAGTCGTTTAGATAGACCGGGAGGCCAGGTAAGTTCATGACGTGACCCACTGGAGCCGTGTAGGCGTTCAGTCCATCTGGAGAAACCAAACTACAGGTTACGAAACAAATTTTTTTAAAGAAAAAATGTTTCTTGTTGCTTTCTTTCTCAGACAAAACATACTTTACCTCTCATATCTTGCTTTTATTTTCTATACAGTAACAGCCTGTTAAGTGCTACAGTTCCAGCATTTAACTAAATTCGCTGTAAGCTAAAACATTTTGGCTTCCAATGTATTCAAATGCACGCTGTTGCTAGAATTAAACACTTTTTTTGTGCAAAATCTGACATAATTGCACCAATCAGGGCAGGTGGTCATCAGTGGTTAGTGTGAGGGGTGGAAAAGCGTATTAAACATGGTCATTTGAGTGCTTTTATGTTGTGTTTTCTTCTTGGGAAATTGTAAATGCAAAAAATCTGCTTTTTATCTGATTAACGTTTAACATTTGCTTTCTTACAATAAATTATTTTTTTCTTTCTTTTTATTAAGGGGTGTCGAACCCATTCCTTCTGTCATGTGACTTTCTTATGTGTCCCTTGTTCAAAATTTAAACAAAATGTCTGAATGACTTCATCAGTCTGCAGTCCAATTTGACAGAGTCCTGTTATTTACTTAACTATTACATACATGTATGCTAAAGCTGAGACATTTCTTTCAATGCCAGTATTATTATCAGTTTGAGCAACAGCAGCTCCTCTGTTGGATCGAACAACGGAGGTCAGCCTTCACTCCCAACGTGCATCAATAAGACTTAATTCTATCCCTGGTCACCTCTGATTCTCCTCTAGGCCACTCTTGAAAAATAATGACAGTAGTTGTACAATATAATTCATATTTATCACCACCTCTGGATCACTGACCTCCATATAAATGATGCAGTGAACTTTTTGCATCATTCATGTGTCATTCAGAGTAATTTGGTTTGGCCCCGACAGCAGTTGAAGAACACCGAGACCAAGAGCTGACACAAATGGTCAAGATTCCTCAGCTGTTCAAAGAGTTTTGATACCATGTACTCACACATAAAAAAAACCCCCAGCCCTTTCCAATTTAAAAAAAAATGCACATGCACGACCTTGTATCCGCTCCCAAGAGGAACGCCTATTAAGCGCGTGCGAGAGCATCCACAAGCCCATATCTCCTTGTGCACGCTCTGTTCAAAAGTTGTTGCTTGCATCGCTCATACAAGCTTATTTTCCAAAAGAAGATTTGCAATTTTTCCACTATGTCAGACTCACCACCGGTAAGTGAAAATGGGGACCAGAATGTATGATGACCTCTTATTTATATGATCTTATTTATATGACCTCTTATTTATATGATCCCTGGAATATACCTTTAAAATAAACACTATGAATGACCTTTTTTAAGACTTTTTTCAGAATTGTTTTCTGTCATAATGACCTTTATCAAAATTGTTGCACATATGTTTTTCTTTCAGCCCTAATAATGATAGACAAGGAAAGCTTCAGTTCACAGGCTCTTCCTGTCAAACTCAAATCCTCATCTTTGATATTAAAATTTCAACTTTGCAGACAGAAAAACGTAATGTTAAAAACACATTATAGCCACCTATCAGTGGTCCTAATGTTTTGACTCAGTGTGTTTTTAAATGTGTCCATGAAATAGCAACAGATGGTTCTTAGTCAGGAAAATGGGAGTAGAGCTCTTCATCTTAGGTCTGTTCATCACTGCAATTCATTAACCCATCTAACCTCTCCATTGTAACCAACAGCTGGACAGCGGGAGTGATACTGAAACTGGTATTGTTGATAATAACTCCTCACAGGGTATTTGCACTCTAGCACACGGATGACTGCCTTAGGGTAAGACAGTGTCTCTCTGAATGTTAAAGGAACACAAGAAGGAGCAGCCACCTCTGTATACTCGGATATGTGATTACATAAGAATGTATGGAAAAAAGGCTGGTATTCATTAGATTCTGCATAATCTGTGGCCTGAGGTTGAACCAAGTTGCTGCACCCCTGAGACCACTGTGGAACATTTCTTTTTTTTTTTTATAGAGATGCTCTCCCAGAAGGCACAGAGCAGGAACCGGGTCTCTTCGATTCACAGACAACTATGATTTACAGAGCACCCCGTTTTGTCTCTGGGAGGTGGATGGGGCAGGAAAGAAGATGAACCAGTCATAAATACTCAGTGTTGTGCTTCAGTAAAACCAACATCATTTATCAGACTGTGGCTTCTTTTCTCTGGGCGAATCCCTCAGAGGAGACAAAAACACGTCTTTGTAATCATTACCATCTGATATGAAATTAAATCTAAGGCGAGGGAAAACCCAGTCACCTTCAACATAAACTTATCTACATCTAGCAGCCATGCCTCAAATACACTGTCCAGAATGATAAGAAAAGCAAATAGCTTGTGTGTCTATGTGCTCTCCTTATGTCTCCCACATGCACATACTTACCATTCCACACACAACCGTAGAGCTCCACCCGAAGGCAAACACTCATCACCCGGTCAGCCAGGGGGTAAAACCGGACCATACGGGCTACAATTGGAGGGCCGAGGTCTTTCAGCACAATATCATAGGTGTTCTCATTACCTGACACCACCTAGAAACAGGGAGAAGCACCAATACTCAATGACATGCCACACCAATCTGACTCTCCCTCAGGGTGTCCCCCGTTAACTACTGGCTTCAGTTAATCCTGCCTGAAGGGTCAGTCTATTTCTATTCTGGGCATCATGAAGTTCTATTGATTTAAAAGGCATCTTTTCAGTTTCCAAAGAAGTAAACATTGGATGGATGGATGGATGGATGGATGGATGGATGGATGGATGGATGGATGGATGGATGGATGGATGGATGGATGCTTTAACATGTTCCAATCAGTCATTTTAAAGAATGAAAAGAAATGTCTGCAACAGTTGACCACCTTTTCACCACTAACATCATGTTCAAATATTTCAAAGGTCTTTGAATTGGATTTTAAATGATGACTGAATTTGGAGAACAAAGTGTGCGACTCCTCATCTTAACAGTACTTAATATGGGTCTAAATTCCCAGCCTATCTTGTAGCAGGGGATAATAACGGAGCTGGACCTATTGCCAAGGAGGGTACTGATCATATGCCAAATCCAAAAGCAATGACTTTATTCACACAAGATAAGGTTGTTGTTTTTTTTGCATTGATGGTCAGCCAGTAAACACAGAAATCTAGACAAAGATTAGGTGGTTGGTAAATAAAAAGGAGATGAATAAAACAGTCAGTTAAAGAGCATTGATATTCAACAGCCTGAAGACACAAATCGATTTCTCTACAATAATTGCACTCACCCTCAGGCTTTTTTTGACATTTACTTTCTTGCACTTCTGTACAGAGTTGCAACTCTCTTTCTTTAATGGTCGACATAAAGGAAGTGACTGACCTCTTGTCCCCAACGGTCCTTCCAGGTGATCCATTTCTTTCCGTCTCTGGAGTAACGGAGACGATAACTGCGAACAAACTCCTGGCCATGCCCATCAGCGTGGCGACCTTGGGTACCAACCAGAGCCAAAAAGTGGAGTTTGTGCAGGTCAATCTACAAGGAATACATCATTAAAACATGTCAAAAAACAAGTTATTTTTAAAAAGATTTCACAAATGGCATAAAAAGCTAAAATCTATAACCATAACCATTTCCAATTCTTCTTTTTTTCCTCCACCTGCCTCTTATTAAGCTCATAGGTAGAACAGCATGCCTAGATTTCCTTGAACAGAGATCCTTTGAATGTTCACCTCACCGAGTTTACTGATTTGTCTGACATCATAAACCAACTGTTTCTCATTTAGGAAGTAGGCAGAGTTGCAATGGATCAGTCAGAGGAATGCTGCCTTAGATTATGCTTTAAAAGCAAAGTGGGTTGCAAGGATTCTGGCTAAGCTGCTTTTTCTGGTGAATAACTTATACAGCTCTTTGCAAAGGTATTCACACATCCTAATCTTTTCCACATTGCCTCATGTTTGTACCATAAAACTCAGTGTCATGTTAGAGGACTTCACGTAACAGAAAAACAAAACACAAAGTGCATAAAATTGTGACGTCGAAGAAAAATAACTCTTGGTACTTTGAAATCTGAAAGCTGGCATGCAGTTACTACTCAGCCCTCATGATTCAATACTTTGTAGAAAACCAGACTCTCTGTACATACAACAGCACATTTTCATTGTATTTTTCATTCATCTTTGTTCTGTAAATGTTTAGACTGAAACAAATTTCTGCAGCTCAAGCAGAGTCACGCTGGATGAGAGCATCAGTGAACTTTAATTTCCAAGTTTCATTAAAGAATCATAATTTAACTTATGTCTGGACTTTGACTAGGCCATTCAGCTGTAGGTTTAGGGATGGTGCTCTCCTGCAAGGTGAACCTCAACCTCCGAGATGTTCATTATGATGATCATTACCTCAGCTGTAATTACTAATTTACTAATGTTCTCAATAAAACTCTTGCTCTTTTAGCTTTGACTTCAAAATTGTATATTACTACAATGGAACAGGTAATAGCACATAATCATAACAACATGAAAAATGAGCCAACCACGGGAAGGAAAAGTGGAGCATAAAAGGCATGTTTTGTTGAAGTCCACTGTTTACAGGTGCTGGTCATAAAATTAGAATATCATGAAAAAGTAGATTGATTTCAGTAATTCCATTTAAAAAGTGAAACTTGTATATTATATTCATACATTACATACAAACTCATATATTTCAGATGTTTATTTTGTTTAATTTTGATGATTACAAATTACAACAAATGAAAATCTCAAATTCATCATATCAGAAAATTAGAATATTACTGAAGACCAATAAAAACAAAGGATTTATAGAAATGTTGGCCAACTGAAAAGTATGAACATGAAAAGTATGAGCATGTACAGCACTCAGTATTTAGTTGGGCCTCCTTTGGCCTGTATTACTGCAGCAATGCGGCGTGGCATGGAGTCGATCAGTCTGTGGCACTGCTCAGGTGTTATGATAGCCCAGGTTGCTCTAATAGTGGCTTTTAGCTCTTCTGTATTGTTGGGTCTGGTGTATTGCATCTTCTTCTTCACAATACCCCATAGATTTTCTATGGGGTTAAGGTCAGGAGAGTTTGCTGGCCAATTAAGAACAGGGATACCATGGTCCTTCAACCAGGTACTGGTAGCTTTGGCACTGTGTGCAGGTGCCAAGTCCTGTTGGAAAATGAAATCTGCATCTCCAAAAAGTTGGTCAGCTGCAGGAAGCATGAAGTGCTCTAAAACTTCCTGGTATGTGGCTGTGTTGACCCTGGACCTCAGAAAACACAATGGACCAACACCAGCAGATGACATGGCACCCCAAACCATCACTGACTGTGGAAACTTTACACTGGACTTCAAGCAACGTGGATGAAGTGCCTCTCTTCTTTTCCTCCAGACTCTGGGACCTTGATTTCCAAAGGAAATGCAAAATTTACTTTCATCAGAGAACATGACTTTGGACCACTCACCAGCAGTCCAGTCCTGTTTCTCTTTAGCCCAGGCAAGACGCTTCTGACGCTGTCTGTGGTTCAAGAGTGGCTTGACACAAGGAATGCGACAGCAGAAACCCATGTCTTTCATACGTCTGTGTGTGGTGGTTCTTGAAGCACTCACTCCAGCTGCAGTCCACTCTTTGTGAATCTCCCCCACATTTTTGAATGGGTTTTGTTTCACAATCCTCTCCAGGGTGCGGTTATCTCTCTTGCTTGTACACTTTTTTCGACCACATCTTTTCCTTCCCTTCGCCTCTCTGTTAATGTGCTTGGACACTGAGCTCTGTGAACAGCCAGCCTCTTTAGCGATGACCTTTTGTGTCTTGCCCTCCTTGTGCAAGGTGTCGATGGTCGTCTTTTGGACAACTGTCAAGTCAGCAGTCTTCCCCATGATTGTGTAGCCTATAGAACTAGACTGAAAGACCATTTAAAGGCTTTTGCAGGTGGTTTGAGTTAATTAGCTGATTAGAGTGTGGCACCAGGGGCCATCAATTTTGAACCTTTTCACAATATTCTAATTTTCTGATATGATGAATTTGAGATTTTCATTTGTTGTCATTTGTAATCATCAAAATTAAACAAAATAAACATCTGAAATATATGAGTTTGTATGTAATGTATGAATATAATATACAAGTTTCACTTTTTAAATGGAATTACTGAAATCAATCAACTTTTTCATGATATTCTAATTTTATGACCAGCACCTGTATACCAGATATAAGCAAACAATCAACTACAGCTAAATTATCCCTCTCTTCAAGTAATCTTGCAGCTACTCACAATGATTGCTAAGGGAGCACCAAACAATTAGTTGGCATTATTATTTGGATTAGGGTTTTACTTATTTTACCTTGTAGCTACACTGGCCTTTGGAGATTTGTAAAGCAAAACCGACAAAATGACTAAAACACATGGCGGTGGTCCTCCCACTACAACAAGAAACTTTCTGTAGCATAACTTCACTTCAGGGGTGTATTTGTCAAACATTTAAAATAGCAGGAAAGCCAGCTCATAAAATGAAGGTGAAGCTGTTTCCGTCCATTTCGGCAAAGGCATGAAGAAATGGCACACGTCACAGAGTAAGTAATGTTTGCATCCTGTAGTAAAAGCCTGAATGTTTTTAAATGAGACGAGAGATGGAAAAATATAACACCTTGAAAAATCGGCGCAATCAAGCAGTAATGAACAAAATGAAGTGAGGAGGTTCGAAAATGAAGTCAGGAAGCTTTTTAAAGCTAATTAAAATCAAATTAGAGACACATCTGCCAGAAGAGCATGATAACAGTAACCAGCCATGCTTAAGGCTTAAGAAACCAGCACTGCGAAGGATGGCTGTTAGAAACTCTAATCATTAAATAACAGATAACACTTATTGTTATTCTTCCCACAGATAAGCCAGAAACACTGAACACTTTCTGTGGAACCAGATCAGAATAAACAGAAAAACTGACCTGGAGGTATTCCGACTCATTGGGGAAGACCGGGGCTGCTGGACACCACGCTCCATCTCCTTCTCCAGTGCTCAGTCTGAAAAATATAAATATAAAATGAATAAAAAAGAAAATTCTCTTTAAACCCTGACCCATTAAATAACAAACTACATCTAAATCCCATGGTTTTGAAACATGGAGAGGTACACGGAAAAAGTAGAACCTCCGAAGGAGAAGATCTGGTACTGACTGTCAGGACCAGATCTTTATAGAAAGCGCATACTCTGACCACACACATGCATCAAACATTTTCTCTGACTGTGAACCCTCTCTCAATCCACCCCGAGAAAAGGAGCTTTTTTACCAGCACCACATATTGGCCACAAGTAGACCACAACCTTGGCCATGAAGCTGTGAGGTTTGAGTAACTTGGGCTGGGAGCCTTTTGGAACAAACTACCAGGCCACAACCACGCTCTGACCGCTTTGAAAACAAAAGCTGCTGCTCTGACCACTAAAACAAATCACAAGATCAACTCGGTTAAACTGACGTTGACGTTTGGATTCAAAAATCAGCCCCCCCCCCCTTCTGCCTGTTTGTGGGGTGAGCTCATATAGCTGGGAGCCACAGGATTAAATCAACACATTAGCGTTCCACCAAGAGCCCTGTGACAGAGGAGCGAGAAAGACAGCCAGGCTGTTTGGACCAGAATGTACCAGCCTTCCGGATTGACATTGCAGAGCCCTGTTTATTAAATATCATCAACAAATACAGCATTTTTCCATTTTTTACCCCCCACTTCATCATATCCAATATGCTATTTTTTTTCTTCTGGGAAATAGAAATACGGTCCATTAAACCTTGCTTTCAAGCTGATTCATCCCAGTTTATAGCACAGCACTGCAGCAATGCACCTTTCACTCGTTTTCTGTTTTACTTTATGTTCGCTGTTCAGCCTGTTTTCTCTCTCAGGGTCTCCCTAATGTGCCTTAAAAACAGCTTGAGCTAATAATCACTTCCACATGGTTAGACAGCGGGCCAACAGACCCAGCCCAACAGACCCGGCAGAGAAGAACAAACACATGATCCAACAAAAGCTCCAACACGTGGCTGTTGCGTGTTGCAGGTTTAACTGGGCTCTCGCCGATCCGTGTAGACGAGGTGGTAACACAATTAGCAAATGGGTTACATGAAGGCACACACAATCATCTCCTGCAGTAATTTAATAGACTTCAGAAACATTACTTTACTCTAGTGCCAGCAGACTGAAAGGAAACTCTACAGACAAACAAATTAGTTTAAAGAACAGCTTGATTTCCAGTTTTGGAACAAACAGCTACAACACATGCATAATTATAAAATAAATCCTATTCCTCATTCAATTATTTATGAAGGACTACAATCAGTCAGCCTACATGTCCAATGAACATCAAACCTGTTTGTTTATGTAGATTATGCAGGTAAAAACTGTATCTAATTAGATTTCTTAAAAGGTGCCTAATGCTAATGTGTTCAGTTAACATTTTAGTGACACAGCTAATCTGTGAAACATTATCCATTTATAATTTGTTGAAAAATACAGCATCTAGCAGAACTTGAACATTTTTGGATTTAAACCCAAAGTGTCAGTGTATTTTATTGAGATATCACGATCGTCTAACTCAAAGTAGTGCATTACTGTAAAGTTAAATGGGGTATGATACCTGCACCTTTTAAAATATTTTGCAAATAATATCCTGAGAGCATAGCGTAATATTTAATTCAGCCTCCTGAACCAACAATTTGTATGACTACCTTTCTCTGCAAATAAAGCTGCAATTTTTTTTTTTATTGTTTGATGGTCATTTTTTGCTAGGGATCATCAAAAGTCTTTTACAGCCTCCAACATGTTTTCTTCCATTATTGCTATTTTTCAGCTCAATCCATCTTCCTATGAACTCTACCCACCTTCCCTGTTATTGCTGATAAAAAGCATCAACACAACATGATGCCGCAACTACTTAGTGTTGCTCTATCACTTAAAGTCTCAATAAAATACACTGATGTTTTTGATTGTGATGTGATTAAATATGATGTCAAAGGGGTATGAACATTTTTTGCCACAGTCTGTACTTCAGAACTTAGCAAAGAGCAGAGATGCACAAACTCCTGCACTTGCATTCCAACATCTGGTTTTCTTTAAAGTCTGACCTGACAAAAAAAGGTTTCATCTGAGGTTTCTGCTGCAAAGTAATACACAAATATATATATATATATATATATATATATATATATATATATATATATATATATATATATATATATATATATATATATATATATATATATATATATATAAAAAAAAACTTAAGTGTTTTTTTTATGAAGGTAACGGTTTTCAATGCAACAAAAAAAATACTTATTCCCAATTTAAGGAATCCCATAATCAGTTCTTTAGGTTAAAAAACAGGGACATCTAATTTGCAGTAGCTAACTTTACAAAAAGTTTAAATCCACATTAGCTGGACCCAAAGGCTAAAGCCAATCACAGGTCAAAGAGGCCAAAGCAGACTACAGCAGAGTTCTACATCTTATGAACTTATTAATAAATGAAGTCATACAAGCTCTTATGAAAGTTGCTGTATCACTGCATTGGAATAGAGATCAGCCACAGAAAAGTTGGTTACTATTTCGTAAAAGAATAGTCCGCAAGCAATAATGTTCCTGTTCGTGCACATACTAAGCATTTCCAGTCAGAGTCATTGACTGTTATAACAGTATGCTAAAGACATCATACAGACCCATCCAATACATCTTTTGTAAATGTAATTCCAGTATCTAACTTAACCAAGTGAAACAATATACAGCGGAATCCGCTTATAGTGGTCACGGATATAGTAATCAACCGCTTATAGTGTTCAAATTGGCTCTGGACCAACATGATTACTATAAGCAGATTCCACTGCATAAGTAAAATACACAAAATTTAAATTTTAAGCCTTTGTTTCTATTAAATGCATTGACTTCTACCTGCAGCTAATAAAAATAAATTTATGATCGAATAATACATTTGACTATTAAAAACATTCTTAACACAGAAACATGGGCTCAGCTTTTCTATCAGGCAGTTGCGTTACAGACAGTGTTTTCCTGGACTAGGAGAAATTACTGTTGGTGTAATGGCTCCTAGATTTAAAAATTCTTAAAATAGTCTAAGGATTTTGGAAAGCAGGCATCTTTAACATTAGCTTTGGCCTCCAGGACTAAAGTGATCAAACGTCACGGATTTCCAGAGATAGTCCCCATCTTAGATAACCTGTCCCGGGTCCCCTGCCTGCAATGTCCCTGATATTAGCCTCTGATGAATGAGAACTGTTATTACTGTTATTAAGGTTGCTGGGTAAAAGCCCAGAGTGAGCATGTAGCTCATAACAACAGCCAATACTGTTAATGCTTAGAGGGCTGATTGCACCACCTAGCAAAAAAAAATTCACACACAAGAAAAGTGCAAATCGAGCTTATTTGTTACATTACTGATGTGAAAACCCACATTTATGACCCGTTCATACATGCTAGTCTGCAGGCCTTTGGGTATTTTTTTCGCTGACACAGGGCTTGCCCAATCATCATCACATGGGAGTGCAGCTGTTATGAAAAAGTGACAAAGCAGAAATGAATTCGAGAGAACCTGTGTGAAAAAGCTCTCTCCACTCAAATTTTGTTAAAATAATAGTAACATAAGGTGCGTTAAGCTAGGTTGGGTGTCATCAATGAATCAGTTTGACTACCTTAACCCCCCCATGTCTTTAATTTCACTGTAAAAGTATAAAAATAGCCAATTAACTTTGTTAACAGAATCTGACCGATTCTGCTCCACTATAAAATGTGTTTTATCACGCTTCCTTCTTGTTAAACCTTTTATTTATAAGAGCCCAAGTTCTCAACTGGATCTCAGTCAAGTGAGGAGTAGGATTGGGTCAATTTCTGGCCATCTTTCAGGGCTCTGCTTGCTGAGCATGTGATGGAACGTGGAAGCATGTGATGGAGCATCAACCCCCATAAAGATTGAGACCTCTGCTCACACCAATGACCACCTCCTGTTTAAACTGTTTACAGAAAGTATTTCGTGTGTGGAAGGAATTTTTTTTTTCCAACCTGAAAAGCTTTAACTGGCTCGTCCTCAATGTCTGTACTCCACTACCCTGCCAATGCGTTCTCCAAGCACTGCCTTGTGTTTACTGGTTATCAACACTGGCTCATCTATCTGCTGCAAATAATCCATTTCATGTTCATGCAAAACAATTTGGTAAACCTAAAATGTGCTGTATATTTTCTAAACCTTGAGATTTCTAATACGCTATTCAACTGTTTCATTCTGGCAGCTTTATTACAGTAACTGAATCCACAGTGAAATTATCGTTGGAGTCTGACGGTTCTTTAAAATATCTCGAGGTCTTATTCACCAGTGTCAGTAGGATGATGAAGGTTAGACAGACTGGGGCTTTGTCTGCACTTTATTGAGAGGAAGAAAATTAGTATTTCTGAGTATTTCAGAAAAATGCTGATTATAGAAAATGGTAAAAAAAAAAAAAAAAAAGAACTAAATATCCACTAAGGAACAAATTTAACAAATGTCTTGTCATGCATGGCCCCAATAACCATGAGGGTACTGATAAATTTTTACTGTCAGCTAAAGACTGAAACTGAGGCTACATTTGCCACAGGGTCACTAGAATCCGACAATAACCATGCCTTGCACCAAAGGTTCAGGCTGCTGGTGGTATGTTGCTGTGCTAAAATTTAATTGGCATCCTTAAAGCCCCTTAGTTCCAACTGTGCATCATCTAAACACCACAGTAATCAAAGTTCATCTCAAACTGTTTATGACCACAGTGTAGCCATCTTTTAATTCCTACTTCGAGTGGCATATTACATTACGTGTTAGAGCTCATTGGTTTGATGCAATATCAGGTGCACAGCAGGTTGTAACTGGTTGAACAGCAGATCAACCTGGTACCAGATGTACCTAAAATAGCAGCAGGTAACTTTATTCATCTTCAATGTAAATGTATATAAATGATGCTGAGCGTGTACATAGTTTCAAGGATACTTAAGGGAAGAGTGCTTACTTTTAACATGATAGGCTGAGCTGTTAGTGAACCATGGAAGTAAAGTGACTTGAGATAAGATGGGTTTTTATGATTAGTAGCTCAAACCATCTCTTATTTCAGCACTCCTATAACTGATCCTTGCAGCTGAAAGGCAGTCCAGACCGATAATGAGTGCTGCAGTTTTCTTCACTCATCTTTTCACCTGCTGGCATCTGATAGAAAGCTAAAGTTACATCAGCACAGTGGAGCTGTCACAACCCTTCCGTCAAAGTGGTGCAGACATTTGGAAGATATATGGCCTCAGAAAATATTAATATCATATGATTTTACATATCAATAGATTTGTGTGCATTGGTGTACAGAAATGTTTGGAGATTTATCCATGTTATGCCTGTGTATACATAAGTGCATGTATGTTTTTGGGTATATACATTCATCCAAGTAGTAAATACTAAGGACAAAAACTAAGATTTTCTATAAATTTACCAGAGGCGTGTATCTAATCTGGTCTATGATGGCCAGATCATCTTTTACATCATCTACAGTTTTAATTTAAACTGGTAAAACTATCACCAATAAATCTTATTTTGCAGAGTTATAATTAACATCATTTCTAGTCTTAGATTTGAGACTTCAGTAACAGTTTTATTTTCTGACCTAATCTAATTAAAAAGGTGCAGTAGCCTGAGAAGCAAAGCCCAACCTAATAAGCAGGTAGGTGTTTATCACGTCAAGTATAAACCCTCTCATTACATAACACTGTATTAAAAGTACTGATTATGAATATGTTTTTATAATTATATTATTTTTAACACAAATATGCAACTCTATATTTCACACATCTGACAGTATTATTGTTTTTAACAACCAGAGAAAACAAAATCTCTCTAATTTACCTAGGAATTGTGTATACAGCATATTATAGGGACAGAAAGTTAAAGACAGTATTTATATTCTTTAAGTAAAGCATGTGGTTAATGTTTAATGATGGCTCTTATGATTTTTAATGAAGCTTTTTAATTAATTTCAAAAACACTCTTACATTCACCTGAATGTGCTTTCCAGCACCAATCAGATGTGGGCAGCAATCCAAATTCAGAGGACTGGTACCGAAGCATTTAATCCATCCTATCAAGTCTCAGCCAGTGAAGCTATTCAGAGCAGTGATTATATGCTCTGCATAAAGAGCTGTTTGAAAAGCAGGCTTTTAAAAGGGGGAAAGTAAACCAAATTGAAAGGAGCTGTGTCTCTGTATGTCAGGAATATATACATCTTTGATCAAATGTGCATAATTTCCATCTAAATTACAAGTTTTAGAGCATCATGCCCTTGGAAGTCCCTTTCTTTTAAAACCTTTTTAAAAATATCTAGTGTAGTGTTATTATGAGTTTTGGATCATTGGCTACTTATGTACTTTGATGTTACACAGAACTACAATTGTAATTCCTGCAGCCTGCATATTATGCAATGACAAATCAGAATGTGGAATGAAATTAAATCAACTTCGGAAATGTTCTATAATGAAAACAAAAAAGAAAGAACAGCAGCTGGACAAACATTACCTTAAAGAACACACACACTCTTAGTTCTGCAATGGTTTAGTTTACCAGACCAAAATTCCATCATCAATCGATCAAAATAGCAATTCATCCATAACTTGAGCAGGTCAAAACTATGAGTGAACTCTCATGGTCACAGAATCCACATGCTGAGGCAAAATAATAAACTTAAACTTAATAATAAACTTTTGACTCTGTTAACTATTAAGATTACTCAACTGCAGTTAGTTGCACAAACTTTTACTTAATGTCAATGCAAAAACATGCATTTTTTAGAAGTTAATATGTTAACACATGTTAAAAAGCATGTATAATTTAGCTTCAACTTCACAGCAATGCCTTACTGTTTGAATTTCTATAATATGATATAACATTATAGATAATGAAGTCAGTAAACAGTCAGTCAATGAAAAACACATGCAAAAGTAAAAAGGTGTTCAAGCACTTCTGTATGGAAGTTTACGATTTAACCATTTAAAAATAACTTTTACTTATGGCAATGTCCTCAATTTAGAAGTAAAAGAAGCTGAAAAGGCAATATGTCTAACAAAAAATTAGAATGAACATTGGGCTCAAGATACCACCACTTCCCTGCTTTAGTTTTAACTTTGCACTTTTGAATAATTACAAACAGGCAGGCTCTGAGCCACCTGTGTGTCATTATTACCAGCCAGTCTTGCATTAGTTTGGTGTGACATGCTTTAGATAGCAGCTAAACCTACTCTAAAAGCAACAATAACAACATTTCTGTGTGCATACATGTCTTAGTGAAAGTGGCAATCACCTGTGACCAACATATTTCTCATTTGACTGCCTGTACATGCCCCATCTGCACCGTGATGGTTCAGGAAACATACATGTACCATTACATCCCTGGCGTTTAATGGCTGTTTACAGCCTGGGTGGTCCCATAATTCACCTCAGCCTTTAATCAGCAACCCCACCCTTGTCAGCTAATCCTAATGACAAAACTAGCATTGCATGGTCAAGCAGATGGAAAAAATAAGAATTTCAACAATGTATTTGTGTCTTTGCAGCCGTTGATGTTGATGTTTTGGCTTTATCTTAACAAAAAAGGTTTTAGAAAAAAACTTTAAGCAAATAGAAAATTATCCATCCAAAAATTTTAATTTTATCTGCAATGTTCAAACTCTACACATACTGAAACATTTTTCCCACCTTCCATGTTTGGCCTCTGTGGAGTCTGACCAGGCGCTGGAGGCGGTGATGTCAGAGTCTGGTATGGTGCCATCCTCCATCCCCAGGGCATAACGACATTGAGCTGGAAGGGAAAGGATTGAGGAAGGCAGAGAAGACAGACACAAGATAAAGATATGAGCAAAACTCTCATCTGTCCAGAAGAAACTTAATATTTTCACTGGAGTTGTTAGAGGCCATCATTGGTCACAGAGCATAAAGTTGTTATGTCATATCTTGGAAAACATCCGGGCTCGATGCTTCAGAGCCAAAACAGAAAATAAGTCTAGGGAGAAATGTAGGAGGCTGCTACTTTAGCTCTCGTTTGTTACAGAATAACTCACAACAGTCACAGTATTTGGCCAAATACATTACAAACATGGTCGACATTTAATTCCCATAACTGTTGCAGTGTTGAGGGGTTCCAACATAAAATTAAGTCACAACCCATAAAAAACATTTTCACTTTATTAAAACCTTTCAGCAGAGAAACTCAGCAGATCGTAGCTGTGACTGTGACCTAAGCTGGTCTCAGGTTTAGGACTGAAACAATTAATCGGATTAATCGTGATTAATCGATTATTGAAATAATCATCAACTAATTAAGCTATCGATTTATCGCTAACTGGAGTATAGAGTCTCATGCAACAAACAAGTTTCACCTAGTTTAATTTTATAAAAAGTATTTTTAAAGGAGCCTTTTGATATCCAATTAATAATTGATTAATCAAAAAAATAATCGACAGATTTATCGATTTGCAAAATAATCGTTAGTCGCAGCCCTACTCAGGTTCAAGCTTTTCTACTCCTATAAGATTTTCTCTCCAGACTCAAATTAGCATCTTATCCCAGATTCTGCGAGTTATTTTTAACCAATGGAGATTGGAGTCACAGTCACTGGTTGCTGTGAGTTGGTGTTGATGAACTTTAAAACTCAAAGACTTTAAAATTAGCTGAAATTATTAAATCATAACGTACAAGGTTAAAAAAGTTAGTTAACATATATTCTAATACCAGCATTAAACCTACTGATGCCAAATGAAAAAGGTGGGAAACGGCTATCAGGTAACATGAGAAACTGAAGACGTTTGAAATAAACTAATGGTGATGTGTATCAGCCACGCTTCAGCTAAATCAGATCAGGATAGAGATTCACAAACTTAATCAAAACCAAATCTTTTTTTACCATACTGTACTTTACCATGTCAAATACACACTTTGGTGAGGATCGTGCACAGTATTAGAAGAGGTAAGATCTAAATAATTTTGTCTTCCTTATTATAATTACATTAATTCCGTTTAAAACTAAGGCAAACGGCTCTCTAGAAACAGCTAGAGGGCATTAGCTCTGCTCCTTATTTTAATCATAACCAAGTAAGTACAGTTAACAAAAAACCCTTTTCATAGACAAAGTCGATTAGCTCTGTACATAAATAATATTCAAGTCATGCAAAACATGAAAAGAGGACAAAACATAAGAAGCACATTGAAATCATGACAGGATCAAACAAGAAACAGACAAAACAGTTTTTTCAGTTCGAAGGCTACAAGCTGGTTAATGGATAAAAACACATAAGTGAGGGCAAAAAATATTTTAAACTCCCTTAAAATAACACATTTTATAGTATAAGAAAAATTAGTGTCTGCTAAAATAAATTTTGCCATGTTATGCTTTACTAAAATAGAGGCCAACTGTAATATTCAGTGCATCTTTAGTTTCCATAACTTCTATTTATGAATGAGGAACCTAGGAAATTTTATGCCCCCTTTGGAGACAGGAAACACATCTCAGGTTACCTTTTCCTGTCTCCGAATATTTGTTATGTTTTAGTTTTTTCCAGCTATCTCTGTCCAACACACAGCAACAACCAAAGGGATCCAGCTATCCTGCACGGCTCCAGTTACCGGCACACCGAGATTTGTAGGAAGAAAAGCAAACTGAGGGCATAGAGGAAAAAAAAAACAAAAAAACAGACTGGTTTCAAATGTCTGGCCTGACTCAGATCCAGTGGCAGCTTTATCAAACGATCCAGATAGCATGGTCCCAGACAAAGATTAGCAGACAGCTATCTGCTCTAAAGTCATCAAAGGGAGGAGGCGGGGGGTGTTTGGTCAGTCATAGAGTGGGTGGGGGGGTGAAGGGAATGACATAGAGGGTTGGCTGAGGAGGGTGTGGGGAAGGCATCTAACTCACTTTCTGTCACTGAGTCACAAAACAGGAATGTTGGGCTCCATGACAAACCCCCAAAAGCACAGTGGGTGACAGAGGGCGCGCACAGTTCATCCCCACCCTGAGGACAGGTGCCCATTTGATTACATCACCATCATCATTACACCACAATGTCTACAGCCAGCAATCTGCAGTCTTTTCACTTCGCTGTCTACTTCTGTGACTTCCAAGCTTACCTTCAGTCCCTATGAATTTAACCCTTGCAGGAAATATTCTGGCATATTACCAATTTCAGTTTAGCACTTTCTGTCAGATAAAATATTTAATTCTACGTCTACTTTTAATCTTTTATAATAATACAAACAGGGCTGAGCTAGTGATTCAAATCTATTTACATCTCTATAAAGAGCAAACTGTGGGCAAAGAAGAAAAACAAACTGGTTTCAAATGTCTGGCCAGACTCTGTTCTAGTGGCAGCTTAATCACACTTCGCATAATGTTAACTAAAAGTGAAATAACTGGAGAGTTGGGGTTATTATTGGGATTTTATTTACTAATTATTTAATATCTAGTAAGTTCTAAATTGTACGTTGGTGCCACTGAGTTAAATAAGCAGGATTTTAAGGTTTTCTTTTTACCAACAAGAATCATTATGACACCATTCCTGCAGTTTAGGGTTACCATAGCCGAAGGAGAGGAATTCCCCTCAACCATTCCTTCTCACTAAAAAATGATGAGCAAAAAAACAAAGGACTACCAGCGGAGAATCCTTCATCGCTCAGCTTTACAGCCTTACCATGTCTGCCGGTGATATAAATAGCTTAAGTTTGAACCTAAGACAATAGTTACTTAACAAGCCAATGTCGACTTCTTAAAGAGAAAACACCCCTCAAAAAATACACTTGGTTAAATAAAAATCCAGAAAGTCAACAAGTTTTTTTTAAACAACTTGCTAAAAGCCATCAACCAACAATCACTATAATCTCATTGCCCTTTAGTGTGTTGCAGGTCTTTTTGAGAGGACACTAATATCAAAGTTTTCATATAATAAGGTTCCTAATATTACTTTAAACTGCTTCCACATTGTTCAGTCACCAGCAGCCTATTTTTTGTTCATACAAAAGTATGTTGCAGAACAGAGTACTTTTGCAGAACTACCTTTTTTCCGCACATACCCCAAGTGCTTAAATGATGGGTACCTTAAATAATCAGAAAGCACTGCAGATTAGACCTTATTGGAGGGAATTTGGGCTTTTAGCATGAGAAAGTTTTTGAGCATCACCATGGAGTAGCATGTAACTGTATTTCTCCCGTTATGATAAGAATTCATGTTATACCTTTTTATTTTTGCTACCTAAACTCTGTGAAACTTGGGTATTTCTGTGTGTTGGTATCAAACATCTTCAATTTGATATTAGCCTTAAATACTTTGGTTCTGAAATCTTGTTCTGGATTCTGAAGCTTATTTCATTAGTAAATAAAACCAAAACACACCAGGGATATTTTGTTGGAAAGAAACAGCTGATCACATTGTGAGAAAAGATTTGCAGCATTTGCTTTGAGGTCTTTGAGTTGTGCAGTAAAATCAGGGGAAGATCAGAGGACAAGTCTGCGCAATAATAAAGATTTTCATTTTTCAAATCATCTCTGTGGACAACACTATGACTGAAATATAACTACAACTTTATCGGATAAAATTAATTGGATTGCATTCTGATAACATATCTTGTTCCGTCAATACTGTTCTACAGTGGATATTATAATGCTTGAGTGTACAAGACATTAAGAATGATGGTAGAAAAAGTTGCTTCACTTTCCTTTTTCACCTGACCTATGTGCTGCTTTTCCAGCTGTGAAATTGCATCTCCAGCAGAAAGTCTCCTGCTGTGAACTAAAGTGTAAACAGTAACTAAAGAATAAATCCGGTCCAGATTTTCCACATAGTCTCCTAAAAAGAAAAAATTATCCTGTTCAAGGTATAAAAAAACAGGGCTCCACAAAGCCAGATGGCCTGGAGATGGGCCAGCCATCAAGAACTACCTCAAGATAAATCAGGTGTCACTTTGGACTAGAAGGCATGGTCCCATCTGCAAGTCAGGGCCATTTGTTGAAATTTTTTCACAAAAGTCCCTGGAGGTGCATACTGTGTGACAGATTCTCACATAAATAAGGAGGGACGTTGTGGGGAGTTATTTCTATTAGGAGAGTCAAGTCACAGATAATCATCTCACACTGCGTCATAAAACACAAAAAATTTAGTGGAGAAAACCTCCACAGTTACAACTAAAGATCATATACACCTAAGGGTCTGTTGGCTATAAAGACATGAGGTGTTAACAAAAGGCTCCAATAGAGTTGTTATAAATCTTGTCCTTAAGAAGTGCTGATGTTGATCATAAGTTATGTTTTGTGTTAAGAGAAAAAAACATGAAATTCTTTAGCTTTTTAATGCTAACTGCCTTTTTCTTCTTTTTTCTCTCTCTGTCGCTAGAACATGTTGTGATGTCACCTGTGGTCCTAACAAAAATAATATAGAATAGTGACAAAGAGGCTTTTTTAGGCCAACAATAAACTTAATTAAGAATCAATGCATCTAATTGTAAATCAGAAGGTTTTCTATCCATGTTGTTTACTAGTTGTATTTATTTTCAGAAAGATATTGTGAAAAAAATGTACCTTGTGATATGATACAGTCCTATTGATGTGCAAAACAGGGACAGAAAACAATTGCTAAGGAATATTCTATCTTATGAAGCAGTAAATTATACTTTTACTCTTTTGTTGTATTTATTTTGTACAAAAACTTCTTGATTAATATAGACAAATATTACTCTGTATCTGTAGATTTGCAGTGATGCAGAAAGAGATATCCCCATATAGTTTGTTCTTTTTATGATATTTATGCTATTTTCATCCTTATTTTGCCGTAAATATTTCTTTAGCCAGTTCAATTTGCATTATTCAGAAAGGTGAAAAAAGTATTGTTGAATTTAAAAGTTCTGTAAGGGGAATCAGAGCAAGCTCAAATCAGTGACAGGAGTTCAGCTTCACAAATCACTGATTGGAAATCAGCCAAAACAATCTGATGAGTGCAGCTCTAATTTACACAAATAAATATATGAGCTATTAAATGCAATACCGCTTGCTTCATTCTGTATGCATTAAAGGAGCTGGAGTGGCACACTGCAAAAACAATCTAAAAATGAGTAGACATTTCTTAAAATAAGTGTATTTGCACTTAATTTTAGTAGATAAAGTAGATATCTGCCAAAGGAATGAGTATTTGTATCCTTAAAATAATGTAATTAAACATTATCTACTTGAAATAAGAGACTGTTGTTTTTTTTTTTCATTTTAAATGTAAATAGTCTTATTTTATTGGCTAAGTGACTTACTTACCTGATCAATTCAAGAAGGAAATGGACGTATTTTATGAAAAATCTACTTACGTGCTGAGGTGTGGTGGGTGGGGTAAAAGCAGAGCTGACTGGATATTATGGAGTTTTTGTGATTCCCTGAGAAAGAGAAATAACTCCAGGTTTCCCTGTGCTACAAACACACCTTCTGATCAGTTTTGAGCTAAACTGCTTGTAGCCCGAGTTCTGCGCTGAGATCCAATGATCCCACTATAATGGTGAGTAGAAGTGATATGTTCATTCTGTAGCTTTATATTTCTTAGATCACTTTATTCTGTGATGGAATTTAAGTGAAATCCATAGTTATTGCATATTGAATTTAAAATGATATTACTCATCTAAACGTCTGCAGAAAACATGAACGGCTCTCGTCTACTTGGTGCATCTTAGTACCAGTTAGTTTACTGATGGAAGTTTGCTGTACTTCTACGAAGACACATGCAGCGGTTTTAAAATATCTTCTCCAAAAAAAAAAAAAAAAAAAAAGAGACAGTCTTCGAAACTAATGGTGCACCACAACATTTTAAAAAGTCACAGCTATGTCAACATGGACATGAACAGAATACTGTGATTGGATTGAGCTTATTCAAAACGAAACTGAATAAAACTTCTGTTTAAGAGGGTTGGATTATGCTGATCCTCAATTGGATCATTGTCCATCTAGACTTTTGCTGTGATTGTGTCTTTTGGATTGGGGCAAATTAAACTTCCTGTTTATGTATAAGGAGAACGGGGCAGAAGTGCTGAGCAGCACAGAACTTGGAGGAATGTTAATAATCTCCAGCTCTTACCTTCTGTAATGCAGAAACAGTCTGTAGCTTAATTATGGAAAGCAATAAAGCCTTGACAATTTTTTTGTTTTGTTTTTGTTTTGCAAGATATCACACTTCTGTGGTTCTGTCACTGTTGTAGAGACATTTGACAACTTTGTGCATGTTAGATTGCTTCCATTCTGAATAAAGCCTTAACAAATAAAGTATCTAATGTGAGGAGTCGGACCTCTTTTCCTTTTAATGTAAACATAGTTTTTTAAGTGGCTGGCTAACTACAAGCCCAATGTCTGTTAACTAGTCTATCAGCTTATGACAGCTAATGCTAGATTGAATGTGTGCATATGTTACAGTTTGGCTTCATCATCAAAGCATAAGTTGATTTAATGAACCAAGACATCTGATTACAATGATGGTTGGTCAGAAATTCAAATATCAGATTTTTTCATTATAGTGTGAGCTGGAGGTTTGATGGCCTGTCATTTCAATATTATTTTCAGAATAAAAAAAAAAACTTTGTGTTTTGGGTGATTCATTCTTTTGTCATTCTCAGTAAAGTTCCATTTTCTTTTCAGTAAAGTAGATATACACTTTTTTTCCCACTCTGGTTTCTGTAATCAAAAAGTATAGAATATTTCAGTGCTGAGGTCTTTTCTTCCCAACTCTCTAAATTAATCAGCCACGTCAGTCTTACTGTGATTCATAGTTTTAGTTTTTTTGCAGTGAGAAGTTTGTCTGCAACAGTCTCCAGTTACTCCAGGTTGGCTCACATTTCCTGACTCCTCTGATGCTTCCTTCCCTGACACTTTGACTGACACTTTCATAAAGTGCCTGTGCATTAGCGATCTTGACGGGTCGGGGGTGTATGTGGAGGTGGGGGGGCTGGAGGGTAACGCGAATCTCGGTCTCCGATTACTGACGACTGGTTGGCAGACAGGGAAAGGACATAGGATAGCCTGTTGATAGTGAAGAGAATGAGCCTTACGGATCTGAGATTGCGAGGAGAATTTCAGAGGTCCAGACAGACGTTTGGTGGAGAGGGAAGGTTTGAAAAAGAAATCAGGTCTAGGTTTGTAGAAAATAAAAAGAAGCTTAAGATGTGCCGACTGACAAACTTTAAAAAGGTGTCTTACTTGGATCAAAGTGCCACTTATGGTCCTCGGATGAGACCAGCACTGCCAGAACGGTGAACACTGTGGCAGGAAGGAGATGTGCTGTTGTGGAGGCCATGACAGCAGAAGCACACCTGATTACATGTCCTGAGACGCACAGACGGCCACAGGCGTACCTGTCAGAGAAAAAGAGGAAGTTTAGAGACGGATCTAACAGCTTAAACTGCACCAAATACAGGCAAATCACCAGGCTTTTTAAACTTTCACTTCCACACACACGAACACACGCAGCTCTAGCCCGAGGCGGCTGATCTCACTGGCTCACCATCACCATTAATAACTTAACTCTCTCAATCATATCCTCTCACTCAAAAGTACGTTGTGTGCCTCACAATCAGTCGTTTCTCCACATTTTCAAGCAGAGCAACGGGCCAACCCCCTTAGGAGCGAGCACAAAGCCAAACAACAAAAAGCTGTTTTACACACTAATTTGTTTTTCTCTCTGGCACCACAACACGGTGATACAATAATACTTTCTTGCCCTTAAAAGAGGGTGCAAACTGCTTTATTAATCAGGAAGGAATAAATAAACCATCCTTATTTATTCACAGATGGTTTGTTCGAAACGTCAGCCATCTCTCCAACTTATTTTCCAACCTACATCCTCCTAATAGTACGGGGCATTTTTGGAGCACCTGGTAATGGATCTGTGTTTGCATTGAATACCAAACAGATAAAGCAATAAGAGAGGAGTACTAAAAATCCCCAACCGATAGATCTGTGGTTCATTCAAGTCCTAAAAGGTACAAACAACAAAGTCAACTCTAAACAAATCATTGCCTTTCATATCGGACTCTTCTCTCGATTTGCCTGAAACCTTTGGTTTCTTATTTTTTCTTTCCCCGTAGACTAAGATACGCATGGCTGCAAAAGAACAAAGAATCACATACTAAAACCTCAAGGCAGAAACAAACTAATTTAGGCACTTTAACTTAGAAAACAAGAAAACAGGAAAAAAAAAAGGTATTAAGAAATCTATTTGAAATGGGTATTGTGAATATCACTGCAGATAATATATATTTCCAATAACTCATAATTTACTGGATCAGTTATGCATGGAATACAAAAGTGTTTCCAAAAGCAACATTCAACATGTTTTTTCAGTATAAACTGAAGTGGTAATAAAATGGGGCGAAATCAGTAGCTACCTGCAGTGCACCATATGACCAATCAAGGAACACTTAGCATTTCCAAAGGAGACATGAGTTCAACCTGGGCAGTGAACACAGGGAAGCCTTTGAGGTGTTGCAAAAAATATACAGCAAATCATGTATTTTTATGTGAGGTACTCCAATCTAGTGCAGCTTATGGAAGAGCACAGTATAGAATTTTTCACATAAACACTAAAAGTGTATCAGTATTACTTAAACTATTAGTTTAGAGCATTAAAGAAGAAAAATACATCAACTGATCCTCCGTTTGTAAAGGTTTCAATAATGACTTAGAACTAAAACTAATTTATATTTAACGATTCTTTGACATGGTTTGATTTGGGTGGAGACTTTAGTTCTGATAAACTGTTGGTATAACCAAAAAAGCATTTATAACAGCACAATGCTGCTTTCATAAAATGATGTTTATAAATTATATTACAAAACTGGAATATTTGTTTCAGTTTTTTCTTACAACTCAATAAGCCTCCGACTGCAGAATTTGAGTATTTTTTAAATACATGCACAAGCACAAAGAATCAGGGTAAAAGGGGTAAAGAAAAAACAATAATACAGAAATGGTCACTTTTTAAGGTTTAAGTCCCTACACATTAAGAACACTTCAGTTCCAGTTTCTGCAGCTGTCATTCAGCTGTTTAGGCTTGCTGACAGAATGGAAGTTTACTGAACTTTCCCCTGTTTCAATTTTTTTTTTCTAAAGTAACAATGAAATATAAAAAATATTGATAACCAACTACAAACGCCTCATACCTATTAGTCTAAAAAACAGTCAGCTACAACCAGAAAACCATTAAAGCTCAAACCAAATGAAAATAAGGATGCACAGGTCAGAGTTTTCTGGGGGTTTTTTTTTTGTTTTTTGTTTTTTTGTTTTAGCAATTCTAACTGGCCTTTGAGAGTTTAATAAAAAGATTTTTCAAAATGAGTGAGATTTTTTTAAAAGGCTGTCAACATGTTTCAAGACAGAGGTGCAAACCTCAAAAGGCTATACTTTGTTCACCTTTGCCAGTATCTGAAGGTCTTAACTTCTCACATGATTAATTAACTACAGCATGCCTGGTGGGGAGACACATCTACAAGGGAGGTGGAGAACACCCAGACAAATTAAACTAGCGGTCATGTTTTTATAAAAGCAAAAAAAAAAAAAAAAAAACTTAAACTAAAGAAAACACTTTCTTTTTCTAATAGGATAAGGGAGGTAATGTCTAATTTTAAATGAGTAAAGATTAGATATACAATGAAGGGATCAGAATGGAATAATAGTACAACATAGAGGGAAAACTTTGCTTGATGAGCAATCAAACTTCATTGGTTGATAAGAGCACAACAAATGAAAGTTAAGTTAGTAGCTGGTGGGAGGGGGGCTTAAAGGAATAGTACACCCAAAACATGATTAGCCTTCATTTTCTACTCACCCCCATGCTGAACAACACTCTGGAGTACTTTTTTGATATCTCAAATGCATCTGGAGATCTGGGAGGCTTCTTGCTGTCTGCTGACATTCAAATAATGGAGGTCTATGGTGCCAGAAAGGTCGTTCAGCATGTGGGTGAGTAGAAAATGAAGGCTAATCATGTTTTGGGTGTACTATTCCTTTAAGACTTATTTACATGTTTATATTTGTCTATCTTTTCCTTTCCCGGCTCCGACTTTCATTGTCGTTGTGTCCTTGGGCAAGACAATTCACCTAGATTGTCTACTGATGGTGGTCAGAGGGCCCGGTGGCGCCAGTGTACGGCAGCCCTGCTTCTGTCAGTGAGCCCCAGGGCAGCTGTGGCTACAGTGTAGCTTGCCACTATCAGTGTGTGAATGGGTGAATGAATGTAGTGTAAAGCACTTTGGTCTAGTTACCTGACTTAAAAATGGCGCTGTATAAGTACATGCCATTTACCATTTATGGTGCCCATCCTGTAAACGATAAAGTGCAAAATCTGTTTAATATTCATTTTGGAATACCATTGATAGAAATGGCCGTGGCAGATGTAGGGAGCACTATTTTCGGTACAATATAACATGTTATATATCGTTGTAAATACTTTCAGGCCATAACAACAACAGTGGGCTTAATAAAAAAAGGTCCTGTGTTTATTATGTAAGATGTTTTTGTAATAATACTGGTGAGACAAGATGTGGGATGGGGGAAAGAAGTCAATTTTCTCATATGCTCTTTTATTTCTATGATTTGGTGGGATGGGAACTGGAAAATGAAAGATATTAAATCAAGAAAACCAACAAAAAAAAAAAAAACTTGACAGCCTGGCTTATTTGATGATAAAACAGCATATACTCTAGTGTCAAATGTGTTATAATCAGTGCAAGGAGGAAAACATTCGTCTTCCTATGCTATAGAAATGAAAGGTGTTAATTTCCAATCAGCTAGTTACAAGTCAGAGCCATTGACACTTAAATTGTTATCATATAAGGAGCTACTGTATATATTTAGCGGTTCAAAATGACTTCCAGGGGTCCAAAAAGAGGGAGAAAAAAATGTGATAAGTGGAGGGCTTGGAAGGAGTGACAGCTGAGATGGAGTTAGAGAGAGGCCAGACTTTCCTCCCTGCAGACCCTCTGTGTTAAAGCTTCATCTTTAGTTGGACTCCAACGGGCTGACAACTGACACACAGCTGTAGTGACAGCTGATCTTTGGAGGAGGAGGGGGAAGCAGAGGGACTGTATGGAAACAGGGTGAATAGTAGTCCAAGCAGCAGGGTGGAGATGACATGAGTACATGTGTGAGTGTTTGGGTGGGAGGGGGTATACAGAGAGTGACTTACGAGTTCAGAGTGTATGGTACTGGAGGGGGTGGTTATGTGGGCATAGAGGAGATCTCAGGGATAGGCAGTCTCTGCAGCTGTCCAGAACAGAGACACAACGCAAGTGATACATGCCGCATGTGTTCCAAGAACACTAAAAAGTGGAGCCGCGGAAAGAGGCTGACATCTTCAAGATTTAAATATGTGTCTTGTTAGACTGTACAATCAAAGCAGAGTCTATGATGAGAAGAACCCAAAATCTGAGGCAATAACCATAACAACCAGCACGACATCAACAAGCAATCCCTTCCTCCGTGTGTCATCAGTTTTTCGTCAGCAAGAGAGACAAACTTTTCATCGAGTACACCACTGAGACACAAAGACATCGTAAACACAAGCAAAAAAAAAACAACAACCAGGCGTTTCATCTAGCAGGAACAAAAGTGGCCGCAGCCATCTGAGAACATTGCTGCTGGAAAAAGTCAAGTGGTGTTGAACAGCTGTGGTTAGAGCTCAGAGGGATGGAGGAGGACCGGCTGTGTTCTGGAGGAGGCAAAGACAGCGTGGTGAGTATATAGGCCTGGTACACACTCACATTTTTCCCTCTGCTAATCCAGGAGCGGGACTAATGAATACTTATGAGCAGCTGCTGTTTCTGACCCTGCACTGCAAAACGCTGCAGACGAGAGGGACAATGCCAGGAGTAGAAAAAACACACAGGGGGGACTGCTTCAGATAGCAGCCATTGCATCATTTAAGATGGTCGCTATAATTAGATTCTTCCTATTAAAAGCTGGCAAGACCGACTAGCCATGCTTCGTGTCTGCTCTACACCACCAAAGGTTGGACCTGTTAGCAGTTATTATTCTTAAACGTTTTATTCTTTAAAGTCGGTCCAGATTTCAAAGGTGCCAAGAGGGATTGAAGGGCAACTCTGCACGTTTCAGGCATTAAGTGAACATTATGCTTTACATGACAGCTGACTATTTTCTCAAGCACATCATAACTTCTAAGTCATTCTTGGATTTTTTCCCCTCACTCTCTGCCCAGAGAGCCATTAGTTTTAGTTTGTGTCAGTGCCAAATAAAAACCAAGTTTCACTGGCTTGAAATCTGAGAGGTTATTAATCACAATCAATGGTTAATTCATTTCTTCTGTCAGTTACATCACCACAATCCTCGCCCCAACAGC